ACTGCTCGGCTTGGGACGCTGCTCGGCTTGGGATTGGTCGTGTGGTCGCGCGCTGAGTGCTTACTGCCGGCGGTGACCATTATGTTTATGTGTGTGTAGAGTGACTGGCTACGTGCAAAAGGTAAATAAGTTCTTTATTTCAAAAAAAGTTGGTGAATTGAACATCTTTTTTAGTGTAAAAGTGCGACTCCAAGACATGAGTTCCAGCACCATTTTTTTTTTTTTTACAAAAAAAGCACTGACGATCCCCCTCTCAATACTGTATCACCTACAGCTTGATAAGGATTTCCTTTCACTCCATCTCAGTCTATCTTTTGTGCCACACTGGGTGTCTGCTGTGGGGGGAGAGTGCACATGCAAGTGCATGAATATTCACACACAACTCACCCCCCCCACACACACACACAGTTTTATGCAACCTGCAATAAACATACAATAAACCACCTGATAAATTTCCAGAGCAATTGATCATAGATACCATATGATAAATTCCACTGTCAGACCCAAGTTCATTGGCAGTGGCACGAGGTAATCACATAATGTTGCTGTGTCTTTGGTAGGTACCCCTAGAATAGGTTTAGTAAAAGAAGGAATAAATCTCAGAGCTGATGCAGTTTCTGAAAGGTTGCACACAGTTCCCCCTTTAGGAGAAAGTGAGGGAAAGTAAGAGCTGAACAGTTCCGCCTACTCTTTGTCCCTTGCTAACATTTAACCATCCTAGTGCTTCTCTCCACTCACTAAAATCAGCTTTCTTGAAATCCAGTATACACATTTGATAACACCCACCTTTCATTTTCCATAAAACCATGACATGTAAGGTTATTTTTCAAAAATTCCCACTAATTCAATCTAATGTATTATGCAGTTCCCAGATGGTTAAAATCAAGTCAAGATGATAGACAATCCCATCATCCCTTCCTCCACTTTCTAAAAGGGGAAGTTACCAGCAAATGCTCCTTCATGGATCACTGCCTTGTTGTGGCGAAGGGGCCTGCATAGCTCAATGAAGCTATGAGCTATGCCATGCAGGGCCACCCAAGACGGACAGGTCATAGCAGAGAGCTCTGGCAAAACATGATCCACTGGAGAAGGAAATGGCAACCCAATCCAGTATCTTTGCCATGAAAACCCCATGGACAGTACCAAAAGGCAAAAAGATATGATGCCGGAAGATGAGCCCCTCAAGTTGGAAGGTGTCCAATATGCTACTGGGGAAGAGCAGAGGGCTAGTACTAGTAGCCCCAGAAAGAATGAAAAAACTGGGTCAAGCCAAAAGGACACTCAGTTGCAGATGTATCTGGTGGTGAAAGGAGAGTCCGATGCTGCAAAGATCTATACTCCATAGGAGCCTGGAATGTAAGATTCATGAATCAAGGCAAGCTGGATGTGGTCAAACAAGAGATGACAAGACTGAACATCGACATCTTAGGAATCAGTGAACTAAAATGGACAGGAATGGGTGAATTTAATTCAGATGACCATCAGGTATACTACTGTGGGCAAGAATCCCTCAGAAGAAATGAAGTAACCTTCATAGTCAATAAAAGAGTAGGAAAAGCAGTATTGGGATACAATCTCCAAAATGACAGAATGATCTCAGTTCGAATGCAAGGCAAACCATTCAACATCACAATAGTCCAAGTCTATGCCCCAACCACTGGTGCTGAAGAGGCTGAAGTTGACCAGTTCTATGAAGGCCTACAACACCTTCTAGAATTAACACCAAAAAATGATGTCCTTATTATCATGGGGGATTGGAATGCTGAAGTAGGAAACCACAAGATAACCGGAATAACAGGCAAGTTTGGCCTTGGAGTACAAAATGAAGCCGGGCACAGGCTGGAAGAATTTTGTCAAGAGAATACGATGGTCATAGCAAACACTCTTTTCCAACAACCCAAGAGACAACTCTACACATGGACATCACCAGACAGTCAACACAGAAATCAGATCGACTATGTGCTCCGCAGCCAAAGATGGAGAAGCTCTATACAGTCAGTAAAAACTAGACCAGGAGCTGACTGTGGCTCAGATCATGAGCTTCTCATTGCAAAATTTAGGCTTAAATTGAAGAAAGCAGGGAGAAGCACTAGGCCACTCAGATATGACCTAAATCATATCCCTGATGAATATACAGTAGAGGTGACAAATAGATTTAAGGAATTAGATCTGACAGAGTGCCTGAAGAACTATGGACGGCGGTTTGCAACATTGTACAAGAGGTAGCAACTAAAACCATCCCAAAGAAAAAGAAATGCAAGAAAGCAAAATGGCTGTCTGAGGAAGCTTTACAAATAGCTGAGGAAAGAAGGGAGGTGAAAGGCAAGGGAGAAAGAGAAAGATACACCCAATTGAATGCAGAATTCCAGAGAATAGCTAGAAGAGATAAGAATGCCTTCTTAAATGAACAGTGCAAAGAAATAGAAGAAAACAATAGAATAGGGAGGACCAGAGGATCTCTTCAAGAAAATTGGAGATATGAAGGGAACGTTTCATGCAAAGATGGGCATGATAAAAGACCAAAATGGGAGCTAACAGAGGCAGAAGAGATTAAGAAGAGGTGGCAAGATTACACAGAAGAACTATACAAGAAAGAGCTTAACGTCCTTGATGACCACGATGGGGTGGTCACTGACCTCAAGCCAGACATCCTGGAATGTGAAGTCAAATGGGCCTTAGGAACTCTGAGCAACAAGAAAGCTAGTGGAGGTGACACTATTCCAGCTGAGCTATTCAAAATCCTAAAAGATGATGCAGTAAAAGTGCTACACTCAATATGCCAGCAAATTTGGAAAACTCAGCAGTGGCCACAGGATTGGAAAAGGTCAGTTTACATTCCGATCCCAAAGAAGGGCAATGCCAAAGAATGTTCAAACTACCGCACCATTGCACTCATTTCACATGCCAGCAAAGTTATGCTCAAAATCCTACAAGCTAGGCTCCAGCAGTATGTGGACCAAGAACTACCAGAAGTACAAGCAGGATTTCAAAGAGGGAAAGGAACTAGAGACCACATTGCCAACATATGCTGGATCATGGAGAAAGCTAGGAGTTTCAGAAAAACATCTACTTCTGATTCATTGACTATGCTAAAGCCTTTGATTGTGTGCATCACAAAAAATTGTGGCAAGTTCTTAAAGAGATGGGAGTACCAGACCATCATATTTGTCTCTTGAGAAACCTATATGCAGGTCAAGAAGCAACAGTGAGAACTGGACACGGAACCACTGATTGGTTCAAAATTGAGAAAGGAGTTTGGCAAGGCTGTATACTGTCACCCTGCCTATTTAACTTCTATGCAGAGCACATCATGAGAAAGGTGGGGCTAGATGAATCACCAGTTGGAATTAAGATTGCTGGGAGAAACATCAACAACCTCAGATATGCAGATGGTACCACTCTAATGGCAGAAAGTGAAGAGGAACTAAAGAGCCTCTTCATGCGGGTGAAGGAGGAGAGTGCAAAAGTTGGCTTGAAACTCAACATTAAGAAAACTAAGATCATGGCATCCAGTCCTCTCACTTCCTGGCAAATAGATGGGGAAGAAATGGAGGTAGTGATAGATTTTATTTTCCTGGGCTCCAAGATCACCACAGACAGGGACTGCAGCCAAGAAATTAAAAGACGCTTGCTTCTGGGGAGAAATGCTATGGCAAATCTAGACAATATACAAAAAAGCAGAGACATCACCCTGCCAACAAAAGTGTGTATAGTCAAGGCTATGGTTTTCCCAGTTGCAATGTATGGCTGTTTAAGCTGGACCATAAGGAAGACTGAGCACCAAAGAATTGAGGCCTTTGAATTGTGGTGCTGGAGGAGACTCCTGTGAGTCCCTTGGACCGCAAGGTGATCAAACCGGTCAGTCCTAGACGAGATCAACCCTGACTGCTCTTTAGAAGGCCAGATGCTGAAGATGAAACTCAAATACTTTGGCCACCTAATGAGAAGGAAGGACTCCCAGGAGAAGAGCCTAATGCTGGGAACAATAGATGGCAAAAGAAGAAGGGGATGGCAGAGAATGAGGTGGCTGGATGGAGTCACTGAAGCAGTTGGTGTGAGCTTAAGTGAACTCCGGGGGATGGTGGAGGACAGGAAGGCCTGGAGCAATGTTGTCCATGAGGTCGCAATGGGTTGGACACAACTTTGCAACTAACAACAACACCAGCAAATGTCAAATGTCAAGAATGTGCTGGAGCTTCCACACTTAGCAGAGCATATCTCCAAACAGATTAGAAACAGATATACGTAGCATCATTGAAGGCTCCTAATGCTGCTAATTCTTGTTTCCCTTAAACATCTATAGTTTATTTCAGAAAAGCATCATCTACATCCTCTTCTTGGCTTCAAGATCTGCAGCAAACTCTTGCCAGATATGGTTTTATGTATTTCTCTGTGCATTTGGATACAGATGCTCTCTGCAGGCTTATCATGGTCAGAGAACACACCAGGTTTGAACAATACAAAAAGCCATGGTCTTGGCCTTCATCAGTGGGTCATCTGGCTTAAACAAGTCAGAATAGCTTGAGCCATGGGAAACATGCCAGCTGAGTAAGGGAGGAAAGGAAAAGGTGTGGGAGGAAGCAGCAGAAGAAGCTCACATCACATCATGGTGCAAGTTTACACTTCACCAAGTAAAACAGCTCTAGAAAAATGAGTAATTTCCTGAAAGATTCATAAGTAAAGCAATTTGGGGGAAATTTCTTGCAAGCAGCAAACCGCACAAAAATAAAAAAGAGAGCAATTATCAAAGAACAAGGTTAGAAACTAGAGTCATACTTTATAATACTTTTCATTAACTTATTTTTCGTAGTCAGGGAACATTCTTTTCTCAATTTGGCTGGAAGGACTTGGCATAAAACTGGAAAATATTAGCCCCAGCAGTTGGAGCCAAGAAAGGACCCAAAATACTCTCAACACATGGAAGATTACGTTATATTTACTACTAGGTATAATCCACTGCTTATACCTTGAAAGGGTTTATTTTGAGCTAAAACAGCTACCTTGATGCCACCCCATGACTGATTTGACAGAAAATCTACTGGGCTGGTAACTCCTGGTTGGGCAGGATATCGTAGCAGGAAGTCTAGTTCTGTGGTATTGATTTCTTTATTCATCAGGAGTATCTGTAACAACAAAACCAAATGGCATTGCGTGAGGCTGCATGGATTTTCAAAAGGCTGCAGAACGGACAAAAAGCAGGATTTCTAGCAGGATTCCAACCCAAATGAAAACAAGACAGGAGCTAAGAAGGGTGTTGTTAGGGAATCGGCTATTTACCTGGACTGTGACTTGGGCCGTGTAAGTCAGTTTGTCACATTCAAACAGCCCCCGGGTTGTGTACTGGAACACAGAGTAGGTGATGCTCTCGATAAGATTGGCTACCCGCTGGTTTAGGTTTTCCTCTGGAGCAGCTCTTGCCACAGCCTTCTGGAAGACAGCGCTGAACGCCTGTGTGGAGAAGCAGAGACAAGGAAAGAGGAGCATGGATCTCGACACATTCCCAGCTTTCCTATTATGCTGACTCCACCCAATTCTGGAAATTATGGCCAAACCAAAGTTCCTTATTGATATCAATTACCTTTCCAATATCTCTTAATATAAGTGAAAAGTTGGCATAAAGTCCCAGCCTAGCCTACAGCTAAACTAATGATATGCAGGTAACAGGATCCCTGCAGGTCTCACAGGACTTCCTTAAAAATCTGGGGATTCTAATTTGCAGTTTTTTGAAGTAATCACTAGCAGTTTAAGTTTGTCTGAGTGCCACCTGTGGGCTCTGGAAGCATTATGAGAAGGAGGCAAATTTAAGCAGAACCAAGGCAGTTTCTTCTTGCTTTGCATGCTACCATGTGCAGGGGCAGCAGCTGGGCTTCATGAAAAGCAGGACGGCTACAGCAGTGGAAAGAAAGCACTAAGGGAAAGCTTCCTGCCATAATGGGAGTGGGCCCAGGGCAGCCTCCCTGTCCTCTTTCACTTCGGGACAGAGGTGGCCCTTCAGTTCAAAGCAGTGCTGAGTGAGAAGTCCTAAATGGAACATTTTCACTTAAAGTAAGGGTGGAAGTAAAAGTGGTTGATCCGGTTACCAGAGTGTCAGCTCTTTATTATGATCAGGTGATCGAGAAGCTGCTGTACCCTCATGATTTTTTTCTTTTTCTACACACTTGCAAAAGCCATCATCACACTCTCAGGGCAAGGAACCCCTGAAGTTCAAAGCCTTCCACAATGCCATGCTCTTCAAACAACTGCCTTCTCTATCTCTGGTAACTTTGACTCCATCAGCCTCTCTGCCTATGGAACACTCTTCTTTCTCTCTTTTCCAGCTTCATACAGCCCTTCCTTTTCTTTCAACAACATTCTGGCTCTCAAAGTTTTAGTCTGTAGTTATTAAAGGTTTAAGGAAAGACACTGCATTTGAACATAACACCTTCATAATCATAATATTTTAGGCCTATTGCAATTCATCTGTTAAGTGTGAATTAACATGCTTCTAGAAGAAAATGAGCACACTATGTTAATTACTCTATGTTAATTAAAAGACATAAATTTTATTTTGTTCTTTTAAGACCCACAGAGAAGACTAGTTGGCTCAGGCTAGACAGGGCCAACAAGAGGGTGACTCCAAAAATAACAAAACACCCCCCACCAAAGTGATATGAGATCATACAAGTGCCAATATATTTTGGCCAACTTGTACATGTGAAATGATAAGGAGTTTCCTTTAGTGTCTTTAGTTGTCTGATAGAGGAGGTATTCTCAGAAAAGTCAGACAAGATGCCACAAAACGAACTCGTACCTCTCTGATCCTTCATCATTCTTGGGGTGTTTTCCAAACCAGTTGGAAAAGCAAATGAAGATTAAAAAAATTAGTGCAAGGTTCATGTAAATGGACAAAATGCCAATTTCCCCCGGACAACTGAATCAGCTCCTCCAAAAATGATGCTCTGAAGGACACTGCATTCCCTGGGGAAAAGGCATCTATCATTATACTGCCTCTAGAAGCAACTTAAAGATAAGTTCCAATAAAAGAATAAAAAATGTTTCTATATTTGCTGCAACCAGACCAATGGTCACACATTATCTCAGGCTATAGGAATTAAATTTTTAATGTAATTTCCCCTTGAGGGCCTTCTTGCTCAAGTTGACATGATCAGAAACAGAAAGTCAGATAGACTGGATGAAAATGAAAAAGACACCACAAACCCTCCATATAGGGAAAAGATTGGGTGGGGGCTGGCCAAAAATTAATTAAAAATGCTAGAAACTGGTTTTGAAGTTAAATGCCAGCTGGTAAGCATAATTAGCCCATGGATGTTCTCAGGATTGAGAGTCCCAGAGAAAAATGATAAACTATTACCAGTTTTTAGCAGTATTAAGTATAGATATGAAATATTACTAAATTACTTACAGGACAGACTTTTCCATAAATGATTTTTATAACTTTCTATAACTTGAGATATTGCAAATTTTAAGGGCCTATATAAATCTGGGTGTGGAGGTGGGAATAAAATGCATTTTGAAACCAGTGTTTCACTCATCTTCTTTAAAGAGGTTTTTATTTTTGATTCAACAGATTTCTACGAGAAATTTAAAACCCAGCAATTGCAATAGCAAAGAATTTCTTTTAGGTGAAGGGAGCATCACATTTCTTTAGCAACATCTCTCTGCCATTTAATCCTAATTTCCTTGCAACTGAAGTACAACCTGGAGGGAAGATATGTGTTCCTTGTGAAACTAACAGGCTACTTGGCAGGTTCATGTCCAAAATTATCAGAGACCAAGATCTCAGAAAATATTCCATGTTGAATGATGCTTCTGCATTAATACAAATGTACAAAATGGATATATAAATAACTAGAGAACATTCACATCCTTCTTATGAACATGGGCACATCACAGCTTCTTCTCATTAGTAAATGTGCCCCCAGTAAGCACACTATCTTCCAGTGCCATAGACACATGTATAATAAACCTACCTTGAGTTTAAGGAATGCCATCTCTGAATCACCTCCTCCTCTGTATAGCTGCACATTTTATCTATTTCAGACTTTTATCCTGTCTATATAGACCTGAGTATATTCAGGGCAACACAGACACAAGAACAATTTAAGCTAAAAAAGGCAAACTTAAAACAAGAAGAAGCACCCCCAGCAATTTAAGGATAAGTCTAAAGGATGCCAGAGAGCAGAGGTAAGACAGTGTATCTGAAGGCTGTAACTAAAACTAAACAATGCCCACCAGAATAAAGCAGTTTTAAGTGCACATTTAAAATGGGCAACAGAGGGCATGTACATGGCTGACTTCAAAGCCAATTGGATTATTTAGGTGCCACAGCCAAAAATGGCATTCTTTCTCATACGCACTGTTTCAGTGGGTGTCTGTAAAATACAGTAGCTTCTTCACCCCTAACAAGAATCCCTTTTGTACATTAACTTATTCCTCCTGTCCCAGCTATCCTATTTAGTTCCACAAACATTGCTACAGGCCTCAGTTTGACTGCTGATGGTAGGATGATGCAGAGGGTCTTTAAAAATGAAAGATTACAAACAGGTTCATTTCAGAGGCAGCAATTCCTGAGACATGTTGGTTCCAGGATGTTGAGGGTTTTAAAAACCAAAGACCAGCAGACTAGTAGAAGAAATTTATGTAAAGTCACAAATTTGTGCCTGTCTCTCCATGACCCCATGGACCACAGCACATCAAGCTCTCCTCCACTATTCCCCAGAATCTACCCAAGCCTACACCCATCGCCCCAGTGACTCCACCCAGCCACCTCATCCTCTGCTGTCCCCACCTCCTTTTGCCTTCAATCACTCCCAGCATCAGGGTCTTTGCCAATGGGTCCTTCCTTCTCATTAGGTGGCCAAAGCATTTGAGCAATCCTTCTAGAGAACAGTCAGGGTTGATTTCCTTCAGGATCGAAGTAGAAGAAATGCTCATGCTTAAAAAGTAAGGAGAAAATGCAGTGCCTAAAGAAGCTCAACCATCACTATATTTGGGGAGGAAAGGGGTCCTCCAACAACTTGATTCATAAGAACAATGGTTATTTTCTTTAAGACTCAGCACAATTCAAACTGCCTGTGGAGTTTGAGAGATCCCCAAAATACAGAAATGCTGTACCTTTAGGGAAAACTGGTACATAGGATGGACGGTATTGAGGTCATTCATGATGAAGTAAAGCAAGGAAGCGCGGGCTGCTGCAGGCCGGTAGTGCTCCCTTGCCTCATTAATCTTGGCTTCTGTCACCTTGGACTCTTGGACCTAGAGGAAAGGAAAGTCAGCATCATGAAGATGCAAATCAGTCATGTTTGTTCATGCTCATTCGTTTGCGTATGGATGGCATGACCTCAGCTGATTGGTTTAGGTTAATTCTGTGCTGCATGAAGCATGCCTCCTTTCCTGCCTGGATTTAAAAACCCAAATTAGGCAAAATCCAAACATTGTTAGATGCAGAGGAGAGACATTTAGATGTTATGTCACCTGCAACCCAATTGCCAAGACACTGATTTCCATCAGGTCCCCCTTCTTCCCTTTGTTAGACTCTTAGAAACAAACACCTACATACTCCTGTATTAAACTTTCACACATCTTAAAGCAGAAACATCTGCTCAGATTTCTCACAAATATGTAGCAAGCAGTCCCCAGAGATGTATACAAACTTGTGCATCAGACTCTACATTAACTGTATTTCACAGATTCTCCTGGACAAATAGTCTGTGAACTTCTATTGTCTCTACAGAACCACAACTAGGCAGTTTGAGATGTGGAGTTGAGCTCCTCAAAACTCCTTGTATGGAAAGATGCAGTCAATATTTGCAAAGCAAGTGATCTCCATCAGATGACTATCAAAGTAGATGGTTTTAAAAACCAAATTTTCACCCAGGGCAGCAGCATCACTGCCAAACTGCTGAATTCCTTCCAATTTAATCTGGATCACATAAACTTCAGTGGATCCTTTCATGAAGTATCTGCTGAAATCCAAGTTTAATTGCATAAATGTAATGCATGTTGAAATAACTGAAGTTAAATAAAAAGCTTTGATATTAAACTGGAATGGTTTAAAGCATCTTGTTATAATGGTAAAGTTTTATGGTCTTTAAATCCAGTGCTGCTATTTGTACTTTGCTTTAAATTTCCCATTTAATGCACATGCAGTTTGAAAAAATACGCCCAGAATGTCAGAACATGTGGTTTTATAGGAATTTTTGGTCTCTAAACTACAGAGCAAGATGATCTATGAGACATTTAAAAAATCAAATCCACTCAGCATTCCTTAACACAGCTTCCATATGTAAGGACTTGGTGTTTCTTCTCCTCCTTCAAAATCAGTTTTGCATTTTTACCTTTTCTTCAATTTCTGCAGCTGTGTGTTTGGTGACTTCCAGATTTTCCACGAGGGCTGTATCTCCCAGAAAGTTCCCAGAAGCAGAGGAGAGACGGGACAGCAGGTTGTCCTCCAGATTTTTCAAAGTTATTTTAAATCCATTCTGCTGCTTTGTGAGATCAGACTGCAAAGATTTGAGAACAGAGCCCCCCCCCACCCCCAGTGTCACTTTTACTTTCAGAGCAAACTTTCTCCTAAACCACCACCTGCTGGATATTCTTTTTCCAGCAGAATGAAAAGCAAGAGCAAACTGCATCATACACAAACATGCACACACAGTGACAAATGGATGTAACACTGGAAGAAGAACAGCATCACTTAACACATTTCACATACATTATTTCAGCAAGCCATAAAGGAACCCTACACGCTAGGTCAGGATTATTATTCCCACACTACAGTGGGGAGGGGAGCTGAGGAACAGTGATTTGCCTGTAGCCACTGAATCCAGTTTACACATTCTGGGCAAAACTAGGCCATGTGTAAAATGTGCTTACATTGCTTAATAGCAACCACAGCAGGGCAGTCTCAATCAGCACTGAAACATGTGGGGAGAGACCATGCAAGGTCCTATTTAGCTATGTACACTGTCTGCTTAAAAAGAGATTATTCCAGATATTCTTGCAAAAGCTACTGTTGTCTATTAACCAATACTCTTCCTTTAGGCCATGCATTGGCTCATGTACTACAAACCCTCCTGTGATACCTAAACTTTTAGTCAAGGGGTTAAGTCCTTAGATCAGTGGTTTTCAAAACACAGAAACAACCCTTCCCAACTGACTATGCCAACTTATCTGATACAGAAATTTTCTAGCAGAAAATTCTGGAAATGTACAATCCCTTCTTGTATATCTTGGGGTTGCTATTGTGTCCTGTAATTCAGCCACTCTTTCTCCTCCTCTGACCCCTACACAGTTCGGGGAAAGAAGTGTAAAGAGCAGGCAAGTGATTTTTCAAGGACTTCTTTCCATCACTGCTGTGTCTATTCTTCCATCAAGGAAATCCTAATAAACATTGGCAGAACTCCAGGCTTTTCCAGAATTAATTTTGAAAACAGCTGCCCAGAGTCTTGCACTCCTCTTTCCATGAAAATGCCACAGAGTGCACCCTCTTAGATGCCATTCTTTGAAATGTTTTGGCCTGTATATAGTTAGCATCTAAATGTAGATGCCTGTTGCATGGAAACACCTCATGCAACAAGTTGCTCTTGCATATTGCAAGTGGCCCTTGTAGTGTCAGTCTCTTGATCAGTAAGTAAAAGGCTGCTCTTAAGTTCCCTTTGTGCAGCTAGCCCAGTCTCCTAACAATTCAGAGGATGGCTCCAATTTGCAATGCTTCACGCTTTGCCTGAGATACACTTCACATGACCACCTATAGCAAGATGTGTATCCAGGTGGTGTTTTCCCTGCAAAGTCTATTCCGTCTTTCAACAGAGGCATCAGCTGAGCTCAACATGAAAGAGTCAGCTCACACTTTCAAGCAAGAAAACAATCTAATAAATAAATAAAGGCATAAATTAGCCAGAAGCTTTAAAATGCCGTCTCCCTTAAGTGTGTTAAGAGGCCATGAATGTGCACCAAGTAATCTTGAGTATATGCCCCTGGCATTGGAAACTGTCCAACAAACAGATCCAGAAGTGAAATGCCACCCCCAAATCTGTTGACTGCAGTTGCCAGGCTGCAGTCATCCAGGGTGTGATTAATAAAAAGAAGCACCAGCTAATTTAGGTTATGAGTTAACTTGCCAGAACTCTGGAGATACTTTAGTTTTCACTTCAGACTTTTCCACAATTAACAGGAAAGATATAGGGTTGTAACCAGTTGTGCAGAAGGGATTTTCCCTTCCCCTGGCCCCTGCCGCCTCTTGATCTGGAGGGTTGAGAGACCCTCATGAGTAGATTTGGGGCCTGCAGAATGGGGCTGAGGACAAGGAAGCCATTTGTGTGGGTGGAAGGTCCACCATGCAAAGAGACCTGCCCTCACATAAGGTTCAGTTCAACCCATAACATTCACCAAGTATGTCTGCCGGGGAACCTTCCTAACTTGGTGAGCTGGGTTGAACTTGGAACCATCTCTTTTTGGTCAAGTAGGATTCCTTCCACCTTGCCAGAAATTTCTTGTCTTGTGGCAGTCACATAAAACGGGAACATTTTATCTGATAAAAAGAGTCCACAAGAAGGTTGAAAGGGAAAGGATTTTGCTCAGGCTTGGTGGTCTTGCTACTTACCTTTAGTTCTTCCAAGTCTGGTCTCTCCATGCTAACTACTGCTGCCAGCAACTGGTCTTCCAGGCCATCCCGAGTCACAGTGAAGTTGATGAGGGTGCACTGTGCCTGCATCTCGGGTTGGTAATGGGGGTTTGCTAGCTTTGTGTGAAGAATTAGGCGGAAACTGGGGTTATACTCACATTCTTTATCTCCGATTTTAATGTACCTGAAAAAAATACACAAGTCCTCACTAAGCCCTGCATTACCATAGGCCAAGAATAACACCGTTTATTAGCCTTCTGTCACCTGGCATGGCATTGTGGGAAGGGGTGATTCTGGATCATCACTGCAATGCTCAATGCACTGCAAGAAAAGGAAGTGCCACGTTGCTCTGGAACAACAGGCATAATGCAATGCAACACTAGTGCGGTGAACCACATTCAGCCGCACAGGATAAGCGTATATGTCACAGTTAAAGAGCACAAACTCAAGAACTTGGTCATGGGCTACTTTATATGTAGTAGCGCTGGAGCAATTATGTTCAGGGCTCCACAAGTCTTCAACAGTATGTATTTATGGCTAGACACACAGATTGGAATGACTGCAGATCAGCAGCAGGGGCTCCAAGCAAGGGATGGCAAATGGAAAGCAAAAGCTTGAAAGAGTCAAAGAAAGGAAATCTGGAGAGCACAAAAGGAGAAAGGCAGCTGGACGACAGAAGGAGGAGTTGACAAATGTGTGCGTTTTCATTACACTAAAATAAGACGATGTGCTTGCTTTTTGCTTCTATGAAGTCCATGAGAGTGTCCTATTTTTGGTTTGCCTTTACTAATTAAGGAAATCACATCTGGGCCTGCTATACATTATTACAATTATCTGATTATATATTTTCTTCCTAATGAATAATGAACATATTTTACATAGTTTCAAAGCAACTATGAAAACATCTTAAAGCAACAATGTATAATGCAAAAATAATGACAAATTGCAGTGGGCTTTTTTTTTTTAAAAGATACCATTTTTAAAAGTCTTCTAATGCAAAAAAGTTTTTAAAGAACATATAAAACTGGATATACTGGACAAACAATTATATACCAGGGAGGACATTTAATAACTACGCTACAGTTACTGAGAAGGTTCCTCCAGCTACAAGAAATTCAGCCTGGTGCCAACATTACTTTCTTTTCAGTGCCAGGCAAAACCATTTCTCTTTTCCAGGCATTTTAACAATTAAGCTTTTAAAAAATTAACAACTAATTTTAATGTCTGTAATAATGTCTTGTCTTATGGTTGTTCCCCCTGTGGATTTGGTAGTTTTACTGTAATGACCTATATATTGTTGTTTTAGGATTGTTTTTATTAGCTTTATTGTTTTAATGATTCTGTAATGTTGAGTGTTGTATGCCACCCAGAGACTCCACTTGGAGTAGGGGGTGTCATATAAATGTCATGAATAAATAAGATGTTGGCTATTGGATACCACGCTGGGACCAGAGTCTCCCCAGAGGGATTCGGGGTCTGAAAAATGTGCAAAAATGATGAAAATAGACCCAACACAGAGGAAAGATGGTCCCCCCAGAAAACACCAATGACTTCCTCCAAGGGGGATGTCCAAGGCTCCATCTGATCCACCACCATCTCACCTTCCTTTTTTGATAGTTTCTCGACCAAGCAGTGAACCCAGGACTGGGTCAATGGATTCTTCCAAATTCTCAATCAGAACCACTTCACCAGCAGCCAGGGCCTGCTCTATCATATCCAGAGACCTGGCAAAGATGGAATTGGCATCACACATGCAGAAACAAGTAGCAGTGGTTGCTGCAGCAAGGAACCTGTGCCGCCATAATGAGAAAGATGGGGGAAACAGCCCCAGAGAAAGCCAGGTACATGTACGCTATAAAATCCTTGGGGCACATGGAAAAGTAGTGACTGTGAAAAACACTGAACATCCTGCCTGCTGTATGTATTTCGGATGAAATTTTTTAAAGGCTGCTGGTCCTGTATGACAAGGCAGCTCTTCATTACTTAGAAACATGTTAATAATACCAAGTTTATCTAAACTCTGAATATTACCTAAGTTACTCCAAGATCTGAGTAAAGGCCAGTACCACACTTTTTTGTTTATAAGTAAGATAAGTAATGTAAATACAAAATTATCCAGAAAGCATGACCCAGACTTGTGTTCTTGGTAGGTGCCATGAAACTGAAATAAGCAACATTAATTAAATGCAGGCAAAAATCTGAGATGCAGTTCTAAAGGATGGAATTGTAAGGCCATCATATGTTACTATGAATCACATACACACAAGTACACTGCAAGTAAAAACTTTTATACAGGGGACCAGATTCAAAGGAAAACAGAAGTACCTCTGATAATTGTCCAGAAGTGAACATTTCCACCAATATAGTTCCGTAACCCCTGTAGGCAAAAGCTGAACTGGCTCAAATCCCCTTTTCTACACAATTGATATAGGTGCAGGCACGTTGTCTTCCTTTACATCTGACCAACCTGTAAAAAGGTGGCCATCTTTGGTGGAGATGCCATTGTGGTGAAGAATTGGAATGCTCACCTAATGGAGCTCCCAAGTTTGAACCTTACTATCTCTGTTTAAAATGATCAGCGAGCAGAGTTCAGTCTTCAGCATCCCCAAACCCTGTGACAATCTAGTGAACCAGCTTTCCTCAAAGACAGAGAATGAGGACTGAAGAAAAAAGCAGCTTCCCGATCTTTGAACAGGTAAGGAAACCATTGTCTGAACAGGAAGACCATGGCAGCTTCCTTTCATCCCCCGTCACTACCAGGAAGGCTTTCCTTTTGAGGACCATCCAGAAAGTAACTGTCCCACTGGAAGCCTGAATCTTGCAGGCCAAGAATGGAGCAGCACAACAGGGACCATATGCTCAGCACTGCAGCGGCACGCACAACAAGGTAACACCCAGAGCGCAGCCAGCACGTCGTTGTTCTCCTCCTCTGTACTTTCACAGTTTCAGGGAGGTTTCTATGGCAACGATGCCAAGTTCTGCACAGCTTCTCCCCATTTAATCAGAAATCTATACCATCTTGGAAATAAAAAAGCCAGGTTAATACACAGAAGTTCTATGTAGCTGCCAAACTGGAGAACTTTCCTGCAAATGGAATCTGCTCCCACAGTCTTTGACTGAGGCTGGGGATACATCAAACTTGACATTTCAGTCATCATATCCAAATACTGTGTTTCCTTGCAGCTCTGCACAGGCTTGCTTGCTCACCCTTTCTGGCCAATCCGGGTCACTCGGAGATCTTCACCATACTTGGTTTTGATCCACTTGATGCCCTGCAGTTGGGGGTCAACCATGAGCGGCCAGCGTTCACAGTTTGTGAGGATGGTGGCGTTTTCCGTGGACATGCGGTCAGCTGGTAGCCCTTCATTCTGCCAGGCCGCTATATCAGCATCATCTGTTAGCATCATCAGGGGGTCCAATGAGGAAGTGACAGGGATTGGAACCTGGGAGAGTCAAAGGTACATAACTTGCAGGGGAAAAGGCACAACATGGCAAGCTGCCTAATAACGAATTAGATCACTGGTTCATCTAGCCCAGCATGGTCAGCGCTCACTGGCAGCACTTCTCCAGGCAGGATTTTTCCAGCCCTACCTGTAGATGCAGGATATTGAAAATGGGACCTTCTTCGTGCCATGCCTCCTCCATCTCTTGATGGAAATGTAATGCAGCAAATGCCTTTGTGTTCCCAGTACAGGCAAACTGGGTTTGTGTTCTCTTTTCCGTTAATCAGTCCCTGGCCCAGTATGTATGTAACAAGAAGTTCACCATGGGTGAATTTCCCTTCACTGTGAACATTCAGCATATGTAGGACACTACAGAGACTTGCTATATGTGAACTCAAGAAAGGTAGCTGCTGGGGTGGTTAACAAGCCACCCACCACCCTAAACAGACCATGGGTTCTGGGCAGCTTAGGGAACCCCTGGAAACCCCAAGCCCACCCTCTGGATTCACACAGAACAAGAAACCCAGAGGCAGCGATTGTGGGAACTGCAACCCATGGTGGCTGATACGCTGTAGTGATCATGTGAAACCTATGACCTGCAGTGTTTTTTAAAGGTTGCTTAAGACCTCCAGGTTGAAACTGAGAGGTACAACTCAAGAATGCTTCCATGCTCCTGCTGTATCACTGTGGCAGGGCAGGGACGGGACAGAGGGCATATGGAATCTTGTCTCTTGCTCTCAGCTAGAAAGTAATACCATGGCAAATGCTCAACTGTTAGGGCACCATTTCAACCAGACAGCCCTTTCATCTCACAGCATCACTTCCAAGGCATGGCAACACCCACTTGGGACTCAAACATTTCAGACCAGACCCATTTCTTTACAAGGTCTCCGTTACTCATGCACATATATATTCAGGGCAAGCTGGTGACTCCTATATCAGTGGGGCCCTACAAACAGGGTAGCTTTTATTCTTATTAATAGGTGCTGTCCATGGTGCTGCATCTCCCAAATAGGTTCTGTACCATGAATTACCATGGATCATTCCTATAAAGCTTAAAATAAGAGCTGCAATGGATAAGAATCCCCACTGACCTCAGTAGCACCAGTCTCTCCTGCAATATATTCACCATTTCATTTCCACTAGCTGACATACAATATTTTCAGGTATGTATTTAATTTAAAGTGCCAATTTTAAAGTTAAAAAGGCAGGAGCAATGTCCAAGATTTAAGAGGGTTCTGTTATTATTTTAAAAATCTAAAGCTAATTAGTGTTAAAAAATAGTAAAATGAGGACTTCTTTTTATCTGCTCTCCAGTTCTTTGCCTTGAGGCTGCATGTCACAGTCACATTTTTCATGATACACATCTGTGAAGCAAAACCCCAATTTCAGATATTTAAAAAACTTATTTCATAACCCAATTCCAGAAAGAGTAATCATCATCTTCGTAGCTTCATCAAAAAGCACTGCATAACCATCCTTTCTTCACTGCATATACATCCAAACAGAGCACAACTCTTTCAGCAGATTTCTCCAATCTGGTGCCATTCTGATGTATTTGACTATAACTCACATCATCCTCAGCCAAGACTTCATTAGCCATGGTGGGTGCTATTGTCTAACACATCAGGAGTGTCCCAAGTTTGCATTTAAGGATATGCACAATATTCCAAGCAGAAAGACGCTTGGGCAGCAGATTACACTTTCCATGGCATGATTTTTGCTCTCAAAGATCGCCTCTACTCCCTTTGGGAATGTGCTGACATACTGAAGGCCACACTTCTCAGTTACCTGAAGTGACAGAGGTTTCAAGGAGTACCACAGCAAAGCGGTTGTATCCTTAAGGGCAAGGGTGGACAGAATTATTTTCCCTGAAGAAACGGCTTTAGCTAGTGCTAATCAGCTGGGCAGGAAGCGGGAATGAGCATGACTGAAATGGAGAGGATGCTGTAAGGGGATGATTCTCTCTCTATATATGCTGCCCAAACCATCATAAGGATGCTCCATGCATCCCATCAGGCAGCTGTTTGATGTTCAGTGTGGAATGTGATTGCGATGGCAGAAGGCAACACGCAGGTAGAGTCATCCTTATGTGCCACCTCCCCCTCAAAAGCCCGTTGCACATATGGCACCCAACAGCTGAGCAGCAGCAACACATTTGCTGGCTTGCACATGCTCACGGGCTGCACAGAATGCCTCTGATCCATCTCTGTGTGCTTAAAAGTGACACATGTCAAAACCTTTAAAATATAAGATGTAAAACAACTGCTTTCATATACATTATCCCTCTAGTATTAGAACCTTTGGACCTGCAAATCTGCTACACTTGAATTTTTAAGTTTTAGTCTGTAAAGCAAGCAGCTGGAAGTTAGTAGCAAAACAGCTACAGTTTTACCAAAAGTCCATGGGTGAAAAGGAATTGGCTCATCAGGTGGGTGCAGGCAATATCCCTTTTTCTGCCTCAGTGCTTCATTTATGCCCTTTTGTGCACAAAACCTAACCAATGACACAGAAACCTCAGAGTATGAGGCCTGGAGCAGGCTAAGCTGACAGCTTGATAGAACAGGATCAGATTACACCATGTACTTTTTCAGAATGTAATTAACACATTCACATGCCTGCTGTGGTGCTGCAAGGCAGTGTTCACCAACCTAGCAAGACACATCTGAGCAAGTCCGGCCACCCAGCAGCCAGCCAAGTTTAGCCAAAAGGCTTGGGATGAGAATCACTACAAGCACGTCAGATGCTTTCACTCAAGGCACAATCTCTCACCAAAATAATAGTAGGAATATGATAGACATATCATAATTGAGATGTGTTCTTTTAGCATTTTAAATCATAACAATAATAGACGGAAGCAATGAAAAATTTGGATGGTGGGGGAAAACAAATGCCCCAGCTCAAAACATCACATACAAAAAATGAAAACTGCAAAACAGTCAATCAAAGGAACCTCTTTGGCTTTTGAAGAAATGTTTCCCAAAAGCCATCACGGTGAGACCCTTTCTAAGGTCAATCCTAGACCTGTTTCCAACAGAACTACGGGCTGCCAATAGGGTCAAACATGCAGTACAACAGAAACTTGTGAACAGAAATACTTGTGCAAAACAAAAAGCAAAAACCAGAGAAAATGTGGCAGTGATTTTGTGCTCACTTTTAGCTGGTGCAAATATGGTTTCCACACAGTGTCCATCAGGTCCTGCCTGTATTTCTTGCTGAAATAACCCAAGTAGGAAACAAAGGCAGTTATCAGCAAGACATCTCCACACAATGCGCTCTCTTGCAGCTGGAAGTTTTCGACTGACTCAGCCCATCTCACATTTTCAGAGGCTAGGCCTCCCACCTAAAATTATCAGGAAAAAAATCTTCAGTAGGTCCCCATATCCATGTGTTTCAGGCACTCTGCAAGAGTTGTTTCGCATCCCATCTACACCTTACTCTCAGAACGATGCCATGGGTAGTTGCATAAGTGTTTGTTTGTTTCTATCCCAGTGTTAGCTAAAACAAGCCATTCAACCCACTCAGAAGCAAGTCCCATTGGTGCTTACTCCCAGGTAACTGCATAGAGATAGTCCAGGTCCCATGGTAGGAATCCGACATTGAGAGAATGGATGAGAAACTAAAACTGTTTAATTCAGTGATGTTTCTCCCCCAAGGATATGAGTCGTTGGTAAGACAGCAGTTGCGACGTAGCATGGAGCAAGATTTTTCAGGGCAGGGGGTTAATTGGGTCCTGGCAATTTTTGTTGTTGCTGTTGTTGTTGTTAATTGTTTCTAATTCTTCAAAATGTTTAAAAAGATTTTGTATTAAGTTTGATCATGTTATGGGCTACTCAGAGAGCTCTGGCTATTATACAGCATGCACATGTACCAAATGTAGATGTAATGCAAGACATCTCCTTCTCCAACCAAGACACACCCTGGGAGGGTGTGGGAACAGCTGACACCTCCACTGGAGACGGTCTGCGCCTCCTAAAAAGGCCGGTCTCACACAACTGATGTTAGAGACGAGTGATGCAGTGCAGGAGCATAACCTATTTTCACTCTTGCACCTTTGCTTGTGAGAGAAAGTTTTTTTGTCTGTATTTCACATCGGAGTTGAATAAAGGAATGTGCCAGTAAAACTCAGAGAAACACCATTAGAAACTGAGAAAAGAAAGGTAAGAAAGGGCTTAGCAGCAATTCCTCCCTATGCCCATATGGAAACAGCCATGCCTGTTTTATCCCTGGCACTGATGAAAGCCCTGGTCTACCCGAACAAGCATGTCTCCTTTCAGAGAGGGTAAACTATTTTTTATACATGCTCCATCATAGAAGGTTCAACCTAACTTACTTCTTTGCCATTCCCGATTATATTTTATTGGACCCAAGTACAGATGAACTACATGTTGTAGGTTTAAGGTTATGCCTGTGTCTCTTTTTGCTGAAATGTTTCCTGTTTTAATTATGTCAATTTTACTGTTGTATGTTGCCTAGGGAGGGCACCTGTCCTGAATAGTGTCCAAGAAATATTTTTAAAATAAATACATATAAACTGCTACTTAATCAAGAATATAACTCTGCAACATATTTTTATAGCCAGAAATATCTGGCTACTGCATTTTAGGAATGTAAGGTGCATGCTGGTGACTGACCTTTCTTCTCCCAACTCAAAAATCTCCAATGTGAGCCTTCTACAGACATCCAGGGAGACAGATAAGCAAAAGCCAGGAGGATGAAATTGTAGCCTCCTCATCCAGAAAGATAGGAATTTGTTAAGAGTGGACATTCTCCAAAGGAAAAAAATGAGGAATATAAATAATATAAATATGGTCAAATGAAATTGACCATATTTAAATCCTTTCTGAGAACATACACATACATGCACACATGCTATTTAATATCCCACCTTTCTGGACACTATTCATATTTTATGTGGTTCACATGGCCAACTCACGCTTTATACACTCATTATGGTATTGTAAACTGAAAAACCAACTATTGTGGCAGGTCTGCACCCCAAATTTAGGCCTGGGACTCTGGTTCCTAAAAGCATAGGCCTTGAACTCTAGTTACCTTGCCTGTTCTAATTGAAATGTAGCTCCTTAGACATCTCTTCCTGGCCCCACCTGAGTGCCTTCACTCAGGCACTCTTGGAGAGCCCCTCTTGGCTTGATAGAGGGACAAAGCTCACTTGCCCAGACTCCTTATCGGTCCTAATACCCTCCTGCTGCTCAATCCTGTGGGAATCCAGCTAGTGCCTTGTTTGTTGCAACAATAAAGTGTCAGCTTGTAAGTAAACCTGGAAGATAAGCGTATTCACTCCCTTGGGATCACTGAAACCTGAGCCAGGGCAATACATCTATATGTCTCTGTTACATAGCAGAAGGCAACTCAGAGTGTTTTTCAGAAACTGCTCAGAGTTCTCCAAAACATATTCTTGAATTGTATTCTCTGAAACAGACAATTCTGCTAAATCATTAGGCTTCATTTCACTGAACCTTTCTATTTATGTTCCAGTTGAGCTGTCCTTTTAATTAACATGATAAAACAATACAAGTTCTGGTTGCCTCTACACAAAGTACCTGCGAATTATGAGAAATCTATGTCCTAGTTCAACTCTGTGGTTTTTCTATCTCATCATCCCCTTTCTTAGAAATATTATATCTAAGATGAGTAGGAGTTGAATCTATTTGTTCTTTTAGAAAAGCAAACCGAAGACTCATTATATTGTCCTGCCAACATGCAGGGTAGTGCCGCCTTTAGTAGAATATATCATTATAGAAGGTCAAAGAGAAAAGATAACATCCCTGGTCTTGCTGAAGTAGTTATCTGAAGTTTGGTAAACCTGCCACTGCAGAGGATTATGCAGTCGAAATGTGTTTGGTAAGCAACAATATTAACTGTAGAAGACTGCCTTTGAAAACTGAGATTGAAAGTTTGTAATAGGTGTCTAAGTTTTATTTATCTTCAATACATTTTCTTTATCACTGTGAATTTAAAATTGGTTTATTTTGTTTACCAATGTATCTATGCTTATAGCTTTCGTTCTGAAGTTTTAACTACATTTTATAAATTATGATTATGATATGGTACAGACTATCTGTATAAAATGTGCATTCACTATAGAGCATCATAATCAAGAAGTTCAAACTTTATCTCCCTGCTTTTGACCTTTCCTAAACATTTTCTTACACTTTTTAGGGTCAGCTGATTCTGAAGCTGTTTGAGGATATTTAGTTGAGAAAGCCAGTCTGGTATATTGGAACTCGGACTTAGGTGATCTGGTCTCTAGTCCCCTCTCAGCCATGGAGCTCAATGGATGACTTTGGGCCACTCACAGATTCTTAGCCCAGCCTACCTCAAAGGGCTGTTGTGAGGATAAGATTGAGAGAAGGAAAATTATGTAAGCTGTCTTGAGTGCCTTAGAAGGAAAAAAAAGTTGGGATGTAAATATAATAAATCATTTTTGTAATAATTTTATTTATTTGCTTTAAAAGACTTGATAATTATCTTTAAGCACTTTAGAGGAGAGGAAATTAAGAAGGAAAAGCTGCCACATTAAAGCTTCAGAAGAAAAAAGCATGGGTAAAACAAAACAATGTATTTGGAATAAGTGGACTAGATCAGGCCTATAAGAAAATAAATGCAACAATAGCATGGCAACTTAGCTAAAATTGTGACTGATGTATTCAGAGGTGGAAAATACTGACAGGACAAGATACTTCACTTTGCCGGAGTTCTTACATCACTATTCCATCAGCAGGGGGATCATTAGCAAAATCAAGCCTCTCAAAGCATCTGGTAAATGCAATCCAAATGGGTATCACCTGTTACTATCCCACACAAGAAAAACCCACATCTTTATGAATCACATGGAGGATGAAACAGACAGGTATTAACTAAGAGCTGTGAGGAGGACTGGATGATGCATTTTTAGCATTTTCAATACTCAAGAGTAGATATTGCTTATCAACTAGCATTGGGTGGCAAGACATACAATTATAGCACCTCTTGGAGTCTATGTACTGGCCATTAGTGATTAATGTTTTGGCACTTCCTCTATGGTTGGAAGAATTATTTCTTAGCTAAGAAAGCTAAGCCTATAATAATTGTTTATAAATGCCTTTTGGAGTGTAGTAAAAGCAGATGTATGTTAAAGAGGAATGGAATTGGGTACTGGAATGTTCTGTGCAGTGTCCATATATAGTATTTGTAAATTAAATATTAAAAACTGAGGCTGATTCAACAAAAAGTGATGGTTTGTGTGTACTGGAGACCACAGAGGCTGGTTAAGAAAAGGAAGATTAGCTCTGCTAAAAGATAGCAATATAATGAGGATAATGAATCACTGAGGGTAAGATGTGGGGCATGTCCTGCTGGGGCTTCCTTTTGATTGCAAAGTTACTGCCTGCGTAAGTTTTGTTCTTGAAAAAACTCCAATAATCGCACATGTTCATAGACTTCTGAGTTATATTCCTGTGATGTGAGGATTAACAGATGGACAATAAAAGTGGACCCTCAGAGCCCTAGGAATTGCAACTCTAAGCCTGGCAGTATACAGAAGCATCACCTATTATTCAGTGAACTGAAAATCTTGCTGTATTTGAAGGTATATCTTTACAGGTCATCCATTTAATATGGATGCCTATTTAGACATACAGTTTGCTTTAGATTAACAAGCATATTTGAAATAGAAGTGTCAAATCTTTTATGTTTCTTGGTTGTTGTTCCAAACCAATGGTGTTGGGAACAGTTATTTATTATTTGTTAGATTATTAGATTTCTTTGAAAGTCATCCATAGCATCATGCTCTCTGAGTTATCATGATTAGATATATTTTTATTCTTGTGCTCATATTCTTGCTAGCATTGTTACTGTAATTCCTGCCCCACTCCACCCCATTTTGATTTACTTGCTAATTAGACAGACAGACAGACAAACCAAAAAGACTGGGACTTGCTTTAGCACAAGGGTGTGCTCATCGTGTCCTGCCAGAAGTTCCAGCCTAGAATTCCCATCAGCCCTCACCTTTGGCTAGGCCGGGTAGAACTGCTGAGCAAAACATCTAGAGGACTAGACATTGCAGTGCAGGATAAACGCACCAGGGAATGAGCATGTGTGCCTAACAGCAGCATCCACTATATATATGAAATCTATTAAGTACCCATCTCAAGAACAATATTTAAGCTTAAGGGCTGGCTCTCGTTGAGTCAACTGGAATTCTTACCCAGAAAAGTACCTATCATACCCTGGATGTAAGAAGCCAGGTGATCGTGGCACAGTGTTGAAAGTACTCACTTGCCGCATTCTCAGAGCTCTCCTCTGTTATTGTTCAAGATTGAGCCCCAACACAGAAATCATAGGCACCTGACCTGAACAAATTAAGAACTGGTTCTTATCACAAACTCCTAAATTTCTTGCAAATATGAAGGGCTGCCTCTGGAATATTCAGTCGTTGGAGCTGACGTGAGAGTAGAAGAAAAGATTAAGACTTGCATCTGTTAAATATTTGCTCAGTGTTACTGTGTGAGGTTCTCAAGACTACAAAAAGAAGCAAGTGTACCTCATGGCCACAATGGCTAAGGTACCAATTTTTCATCTGCTTTCAGGAAAAACAAAAATAAAATTGGTTTCCATCTCCAAAATTTCTATTCTGCCAACCATATGAAGCTACGACTGTGATTTGGCTCTCTGTTCTGCTTGTACTCAAGGGAAGTAACTGAAGGAAGTAGCTGATTTTCTGCTGTGCTTGTGGTGCAAACATTCTCATTTTGACCAAATTAGTCCACAAGTGCATAAATCATACACAGATGCCAGGCAGGACAAGAAGTCAAGCTTAAAAATAGAAAACCTAAGACAGAAAAAGTCCCACATCTGGTCTACAAAACAAAATCTTTCATTTACCCATTTCCATCTTAATTAAGAGATCACCCTCCATGCTAATTAGTTGTTATTGCTCTTTTCCTTCTTTCACTTTTTAATTGGCTCCTGTATGAGTGACTTCTTGGGTAACAGCCTCAAAGCTAAACTCTCATTCCTCTGTAAATAAATGCAAACATAAATGTGGAAATTACTAGCTCCACTTGCTGGTGAAAATGCAAAATAGTCCAAAATTTTATATTAAAAAAGCATGATGGGAAAGCTATCTCATACCTGCTTCTTATGGTTGCGTTAACTGTTCTAAGATGCAGTGTTCCATTGTGTGAAATTTTATGTGCACCTTTTTAATTAGGCTATGCTTTGAATGAATGCATTCAATTTAAATTAGCCATGACATCATTGAGGGTAGTACAGGAAAGTTATCGGAGCATTAATGGCAGGTAGGTTCCAACACATCAGCAAGCACCTTCCACCACTTTGCCTAAATCTCATGGAAGTATTTTAGAAACAATGAATTTGTAGAATGCCCCTGAACAGCATACAGCATAGTCCATAAACTACTTAAGCCATTGTACTTACATTAACACTGACCCAGTTTCATCAAAATGCTATTGTACTCAAAGCTGTAAAAAGTCCTCAGACTGTAGCTGTCTTTTTATGCACTTGTAACTACAAGCTGGGACTGCAGGTGGCGCAGTGGTTTAAACCGCTGTGCTGCTGGGCTGGTAGATCGAAAGGTCGCTAGTTCGAATCTGCACAATGGGGTGAGTTCCCGTTGCTCCATCCCAGCTCCTGCCAACCTTGCAGTTCGACAGCATGCAAATGCAAGTAGATAAAAAGGTGCCACTTTGGTGGGCAGGTAACAGCATTCCGTGCACCTCGGGGTTTCGTCATGCCAGCCACGTGACCACGGAGACTGTCTGCAGACAAACGCTGGCTCCCTCGGCTAGGAAATGGAGATGAGCACCGCCCCCTAGAGTCAGGCATGACTGGACTTAATGTCAAGGGGAAACCTTTACCTTTAACTACAAGCTGAGATCCAATAACATCTACTCTGGTTTAAAGGTACTGATGTTAGGGGTACCATATTGTCAGTAATTCAAGGTCTGCAGCCTGAGTGATTCAATAAGATTGTTTATGGCCTCAGCGATTGGAAACTGGCTCACCCAACTGCAATATTTTAACAACCGAACAACCAACCACCCCTCACATATTGCTTCTTGCTAAGACAAGCAAGGAAGACTTTTTGCATAATACTATACTGTAGAGCTACACTCCTGAATAGAGACTGTTAAATGGCAACAGGCTCATAAAATCCCAAATGCTCATTATAATCACACATTTAAAAGTTTCTCTTCGTAACAGCTGGAGCTAGCAAAGGGCTACTGTACTGACAGCCATGGGCCACCCACAAAACCAGACAATACAGGCATATATTGCTGTGAATGATGTGGCATTTGGAGAAAAATTGTGCTGCAAGGTGTCAAGGGTAGACAGGAATTGATACAGTCCTGTGCTTGCGGCCAGTTGCACATAAGGCTTGTCCACTGAGCCCATCAGATGTATGGGCAGCATTCAAGGAGTATTGATCTCACACTAAGCACAAATGGCCCACAAGTCACTCATGCTGTAATTAGTCTCACACCAACCCACTAACGGATCCCACTATTCACATGCCATCATTCTTTGAAGAATCCCTGCTTTCCCTGGATCTTAGTCAGCACTAACTACAGAAGAACTATTTCAAGTATCCCTAGAAAAGCAGGAGAAAGCAGCGGTTGCCAATCAAGAAAGGGCACTATAGCCCTTTCTGAAAAATTTCTCCTTAATGCTTTCTACATTAATTGAGCAATTAGCAGTGCCCCAGTTCTCCATTCAGGCCAAAATGAAGACCAGAATGTCCTTCTCCAACCTGTTACCCTTCAGATGCATTGGACTCTAACTCATATTATCTCAACTCAGCATGGATGCACTGCCAGAGATAATGGGAGTTTGCATCCAATACATCTGGAGGGCACCAGGCCAAGGAAGGAAATCCTAAGTTCACACACCAGCATGAGCCGTATATGTTTATCCTCACCAGGCGATTTGCGAGGGAAATGGTGTTTGCAGTGGCTTCAGCTTCTTGCTGGCATTTCAGCTTCTCTGCTGTGGCCTTCTCAAATTTGGCTGTCAGCTTCTCCAGGTTCTCATTAAGGTGCTGTAGTGTGAAAAGAAGAAATCCATGAGAGAAAGGAAAGATACTTGGAAGAATGCAGTCTGTGTTTATTAATACAGGGGAGCATGAGACCCTCTTCGGCCAGTCAGCAGCCCACCCGCAGTTCCTCAAGGAGCAGCCCATGACAGAAATGAGAAATGCCAGTATGTTAGAAATACGGCCACCAGCCTGACATTTGACAAGCACAATTCAGCCCTTCAGCCATCACCACGATATTGTCCTCATGGGAAAGGCAACAGGGGCGATCTGTTTTCCCCTCGCAGCTGCTGCCCGCATTTGGAGGGCTTGTGGGTCAGGCCAACTGAAGAGTTGCAGTGAGCCACTGAGGGACTTTCCAAAGGAATTCTCCACTCTGCTAAGAGCCAGCCATTTCCAATACCAAGGAAGCTAACCTTATTGATGCGGGGGAGGGGGAGATGTCTGTGCATATTTTATTCTTAAACCTCAGTGTTGAAATGCCATTATTACTGGTGTAACACACTGAAGCTCATCTGAACGTCTGGCCATAGTTTGTGGGGAAAAATTTACGTAATGGTTAGCCACAGCAATGCAGCTATGTTCACCAAGAAGCAAAGTATAAGAAAGGCCAAAGTTCTCTCGCAATGAACTCTAAGGATTACATTTCTGGAGGGGAAAAATCATCTTTTCCTTTTATAGTTAGAACTTGTAATCCTCAGACATAAAATACAGTAAAGGTTACCTGTTTGCAATATTAACTGTTTTCTTTCCTGTACTGTTTGTGCTCTAAGAAGAGACCAGATGTAACTAATGTAACCTATAAAAAGATATTTGTACCAGAAGGGAGATGTGCTTCTCGCTAACTCTGTCAGCACTCTGTGATGCTGATGAGCTGGTCAAGGATCTCTCCCTACACTATTTTAGCATTTTCCTTCCACAAGACGGAAAGGTCATTTTGTTGCTTTAATAAGTGTGCAGTGGAAGGAATTTTGGCAAGAAAAGTTTGGTGAGAAAAACTTCCTGATAGAAGTTCCCCAACAGCAATTAAAGGTGAGCCATGTATGGCTGTTAAATGGTATATAAAAGCAACAAACAAAGTAGCTCCATTGCTTTTTCCATCTTGTCAACATACCTGAACAAAAGTATTGAGTGGGGAGGGAAAGTGCCTCCTTAGGGTTCCTCACTCTTGAGGTTACTGCCCCCAGGTTTAATGTTTCAATACTGTTTACCCTGAGCATGGAAGAGTGCCTTGTGAAAGCTACAGAGAGGAGTTATCTAAATGGTACCCAAACATAAATGCCATTTTAGCTTTGCTTCAATGGTCTAGCAACAGATTTCATGAGAGTCATCCAATTGTATCCATATCTGATCATTTTTCCTGCCTCACTGTAAAACAAAAGCAGACTGTTCCCAAAGTTATTGGAACATTTTACTTCTGTGACAAAAGAAGTGACGTTAACAATTGATTTTATCTGCATCCAGCACAAACAGCTTAAGGCTAAGTGCCTCTAAATCATTTTAACACTGCTTGAACATCACACTGGAAATAAACCTGAATATGAAAGAAGGATTTTTTGTTGCTGTTGTGGCATCTGGAGTTACTTGATCAAATATCTGCACAGAATACAAAATACAGCCTCTTTAAACATGGCTTGTCATTAAATTCCAGAGCTATAACACTTAAAATGACTTCTGTACATTAAATTTTCCTCTTGCATTTCTGAAACCATGTGGGTATATGTGTGTGCAATCTAAGCTTCATGGTTTACTTCACGGCTCACCACTTGTATTATTCACTGTGTTGTACAATAACATGAAAATATGGCATACAGGCTTTATCCTGGTAAAATGGGATTGCTGTTTTCTCGGCAAAGGGAAACATTCACTGTTACATGAGTGAACTTCCACTCACTCTCTCTGTTCTCTTCCCTGTTCCTAGAATGCCTTCCAAATCTGCTCTGGGCAAGGCAGGCGGAGGGAGTCTGCTCTGCAAAGAGCGTCCACTCTCTTCGCAGACGGACACCTCTGCATTTCACTCCAAACTTCTGTGACTTTAAGAGCTGTGTGACAGTTAAGCATTCAGTGCCTTCACCCATTTATTGCTGCTATGTACAATCAGGTTGTCTTATGAATGAAAGCTCTCCAGACCCTGTGAATGAAAGCCTTCCAGAATGTCCTTCCCATGACTGCTCCATTCAGCTCTTCCAAGTTCAAGGCTGTGGCTTCCCTTTTGGAGCCACTCCATCTCGCATTTGGTCCTCCTTTTCTTCTTCTGCCTCTGACTTTCCCTAGCTTGACTGTCATCTCCAGGGAGTCTTGCCTCTCATGACGTGTCTGAGTACGGCAGCCTCAGTGTTGTCATTTTTGCTTCTAGCAAAGCTCTGGCTTGATTTGATCTAGGCCTCCCTTGTTTGTCTTTCTGTAGGTCCAGAGTATTCACAAAGCTCTCTTCCAGCATCATGTTTTGAATGCTTCAATTTTCTTCCTGTCAGCTTTCTTCGCTGTCCAGCTTTCACATCCATACACAGTGAATGAGAACACAATAGTGTGAAATATTCTTACACTTGATGATCTTTCCTAGTTTCTTCACTGCTGCCCTTCTAAGTTTGAGTCTTTGAATTTCTTGGCTGCAGTTTCCCTTCATATGAGGAACAAATTCACTGACTAAAGTTGTGCCTGTCATGCTGTTATTACAGGCTCTAAGGCTGAGATTACATGTACCAAAATGGGAAAACAATGAAAATTTTAAGACCGCATCCATGAACAAGTGACAATACTATATGCAAATAGTTAGTGACCTTTTCTTCCATACACATATACCTTGGCTATGAAAACACCCCCTAAGTGAGACATAAAATATAATTGAAATGAATCAATTGGTTTTGAAGCATACTGAGTTCTTTGTTGCATATTCTGTGCATGGTTTGAACTTGCTAATACCCCACCTATTCGAAGATTTTCAAACATGAGTAAGTCTCAAAAATGGATTTTAAAATTATTTTGTGAGTTGTCCATTGTTCCACATTTCTTGTCATCTCATATCGGATTTTAATCAGCCAGATTTGTCCCCTTTGTTGTGAACTGTCAAGTAATATGCTGTGATACAGATTAGTAGGTTTTCCTCATCAAAGTACAAAGTTTAAATTGATGCTTGCCAATTCCATTGTTCCACCGCATTGTTATGCTATATCAGTGAGGTAGGAGTAATTTTTGAAAGTAAATCTATTCAGAGTTTTATAGAATTGATTCAGTCTAAGGAGATGAGGATCTCTAAATCAATGAATATTAATAAAATAATAAAGTAGCATTAATAGTAATGCTATCAACAGTGTGCAACAACTATTATTATTATTATTATTATTATTATTATTAGAACATTTCTATGCCGCCCCTTGCCGAAGCCTCGGGGCGGCTTACAACACAATAAAATACAATACAATACAAAAATAACAATATAAAATTAAAATTAATAATATAAAATAAATAAAAAATATAAACAATATAAAAGGAGTTAGAAAAGTTATAAAAGAAAAGAAAAGAAGTCGCCCTGGCCAGATAAATAAGTAAATATTGTTAACAATTAAAATGACGTTTAAATAAAAAGGTCTTCACCTGGCGCCGAAAAACAAATAACAACGGCACCAGGAGGACCTCTCTGGGGAGCACATTCCATAGATTGGGCGCCACCGCAAAGAAAGCCTTCCTCCGAGTACCTACCCTCCTAATTTCTTTCACGGAGGGTTCCCGGAGAAGGGCCTCTCCCACAGATCTCAAGGGGTGGTCGGGCATATATGGATGTAAGCGCTCCTTCAGGTAACCAGGTCCCAAGCCGTTTAGGGCTTTATAGGTCATCACCAACACCTTGAATTGGGCCCGGACTTCAATGGGAAGCCAGTGAAGCTGTCGGAGGACTGGAATCATGTGAACATAATGCCCCGTCCCCATCAGCAACCTGGCAACTCTATTTTGAACCAATTGAAGTATCCAGGCCGTCTTCAAGGGAAGCCCCACGTAAAGGGCGTTACAGAAGTCAAGGCAGGAAGTCACCAGCGCATGTGTCACCGTCGCCAGGCAGTCGTACTCCAGGTAGGGGCGCAGCTGATTAATCAGCCGAAGCTGAAGGAAAGCGCTCCTCGCCATCGTTGTCACCTGAGCTTCCAATGAAAGCTCTGGGTCGAGGAGTACTCCTAAGCTGAGGACCTTGTCCCTAAGTGGGAGTGCAACCCCATTCAGGGCCAGGTCAAATCCACCCTCTCTGAAGCCCGATCCACCAACCAACAGGACCTCCGTCTTGTCTGGATTGAGCTTCAGTTTATTGGCCCTCATCCAGCCCAGTACCTCGGCCAAGCACCGGTTCAGCACAGCCACTGCCTCACCTGGATTAGTGGAAAATGAGAGGTAGAGCTGGGAATCATCAGTACGCTGATGATACCCAGCTATTTTTTTTTTTTTTTTTTTTTTTTTTTTTTTTTTTTTTTTTTTTTTTGCTCTGCGCCATGGCAGCTATGCCATGGCGCAGAGCCATAGTCCCCCAGCACTACCTTCTGGAATCGGCCGTTGAGATAGGAGCGGAACCACTGCAAAGCAGTGCCTCCGACCCCCAATCCTGCTAGCCTATCCAGAAGGATACCATGGTCGATGGTATCGAAAGCCACTGAGAGGTCCAGGAGAACCAACAGGGACACACTCCCCCTGTCCTTCTCCCTGCACAGGTCATCGTACAGGGCGACCAAGGCAGATTCAGTACCATACCCGGGTCTGAAGCCGGACTGAAATGGGTCCAGATAATGGGTCCACATGGATTTGCACCCAATGACCCAGTTTCAAGATAATTCCAAAAGACAAAGGATTTGCATAATCCCTTGGTGAAAGGGATAGTACACAAACCATTAGCTTGGATCCAATGTGTATCTCTCATTTCTGTCTATTTCCATCTTGCAAGTAAAGGTCAGCATATTGCGCTGAGCACTATTCTGAATGCTCCCAACAGACAGAAAAGGCTTTGCAGAGGGCATTGTAGGGCCTGCAAGAAGGAGCCCATTCAGTGAGTGAAACTGCACGTACCACTGTTCAAGACCAAGGCTGCCTCCCTACATTCATGCAGAAAGGAGTTAGTTACACTGAACTTAATAGGACTTGGTTCTGAATGAATATTCTTAGGTTTGCGCTGCCAAGTGTTGTTTATGGGAGACATTCAAAATCTTAGGATGGTGAATTGTTTGAACAAATGGAAATGTTATCAGTACAAGGTCCCACAGTTTCTCACTGTTATTCCAACAAACAACCTTGTAAGAAAACCTCAAAAAGCATCTAGCTTTGCCCTTGTTCAATTTACTAGCCTGCCTATAAAAATATGCCTATTTGTGGTGGCCCTTGGATTGTCCGAAAGAAACAACAGAGACAAATCTCATTCATGCTTCAATATGTGAACGTGATTCATGACAGGCAAACAGGAGAGCGGCTATATGTAGGCCAGGGCTGTGTTTGTCTTTGTTTGTTTATTGCACAACTCTGCATGATGTGTTGTTGCAAACTACCCAGAAAGCTTTGGTTATTGGGTGGTATAAAAATAAATAAATAAAATGTGACATACACACTGTCATCTTAAATATTAATTAAATGCTGGGGGGGCAGGCAGCATTCTGCTTGCTCCAGTAGCAGCCGTGGGGGTTGTGAAGTGAGAGGCACAGCAGATGCACTTGGCTTCGCTTCTCTGGACTTTTCAAGGGTTAGGAAAGATCCCTGACCTGACATCTCAAAATCCAAGAAAGAAATGCCCATGCAATCCCACTAAAAAGCTAATTTAACTGCAAAATGTATTAAGTAACTATTTCAGGCAAGTAATTTCAGAGTTTCACATCAAGGATCATCATTTCAGAACTGGCTTCCTGAAAATTGTATAAAACCTGAGGCAGCATCAAGGCAGTTCTTAATATCCATTCCTGGGTAATATGGCAATCTCTCAAACACTGCCCTACATTTAGATCATTTAAGTGGGAGTAAAGAGGTTTCACTTTTTTTATAGCTGATATGAACAAACAGAACTCCATCAACCATACAACCATGAAACCTCTCAAGACCAATAAAAATAAGAATAACTTGCTTAGGTACTGGCAAGTTAAAGACACGAGAGAACGGGATCCCATTGCTTCAAGAGAAATCTTAGTACTTTTACTGGGCAGCTTGCATAAAACAGTTTCCTACAGCAGCAAGGAGTTGGGACTTACAGAACTTCTCAGTTCAGTGTTCCAAATGTCCATGAATTAGGGATACAAAGATGCAGACAGAATCTGGCTTTCTTGTGCTCATTGGACTTCACGCACTTGGTCCTGGTCAGGAAGTGAGCCAAGCCAAGATCAAGTCTATGAATGCTTGGGAACACCAGCAGACACTTTCTTTCCACAAATAACTCAAAGTTCACCATGGATGTGTAAGCAGTGTGTGCACAAGCCAGCCTTGCTGAGTTGCTTGGACTTACCTCCTGCTGGATGCCCACATGAATACTTGGTGTGAGGCAGACTTAGGGCAGAGAAAAAGCAGGCCAGAGCCCAAAGAGCCAAGATAAGGACATCTGAGATTCCCGCCTCCAAACCAGATTCCTCACACATCACTAGCATAAATGGCACACTGCGAAATTGACCATCTACTAATGAGGATTTGGGGGGACCTTTGCTCATTGCTACAGGATGCCCCCAACTGGCAGAAAGTCCAAGATTCAATCCCTGGCACCTCCATCCCTGGATGATACTGAGCAGACAGACACACTGCCTGACCTGGTACAGCTTCCTAAGCTGTTCCTAGAGCACTGTGGAATAACGTTGACTGCAACTCAAAGCCATTGACCACTTTGCCTTGGGCTTGGAGACTTACTGCAATTTTGGCCTTGATGTTAGCCAGCTTTTCCTGGGCGGCAGCAAGTTCAGCATTTGCTTTGTTGAGAGCCTGCCGCTTGGGCTCCACATCACAGTAGACTTCGTAAAAACGCACAATGTTGATAACCCAGGAACAGAGACCAGCAGCTGCAAAGGACTTGAATCTCACAAACTCAGGGTTGAATTCTGGATCCTGAAGATAGGGCTGCAAGGCTCGAAGGCAGTTTTCATGTATATTCTCCTTGTTGAAGTTGACCAAGGAGTCCAGAAAGTTGTCCACCTTGGCCATAGCTATCTTGGCTGCTTTCCAGCTCCTATCCTTGGGCACCTTTCCACCTGGAGCCAAGAGCACCATCACAGCAGCAGTGACATTGCTGACAGCAGGCGGGGGTGATCCAAATGTCTTCAGTTCTGTCAGATTGTTCTGAAAGGGGGAAAAAACAAGGTTGTTAAATGGAAATGAATGGGTTTTCTTTTTTACTTTGCTGGTAATGGAGTCAGGCTCCAGAGCTATCAATCTGAGAGAAGAGCTTTGAAGCCAGGAGCAGCACTCTGAATTTTAAATATTATGACTCATCCAGTCTAAGGCAATGAATCCCTCTAGTGGCACAGGGGCCTCCACCGGCTTGTTAGATGAGAGCCAGTCACATTCCTTCAGCATTTCAACCAGCCCTGCTGTTAAAATGCAGAATTAGATTACAGATTTACCCAGTATGAAAACAGATAGGTACACCAAGCAAGGAAAAGATCAGTGTCACCCAAAATCAATAGAGCTGCAAAAGGGCTGTGAATATCGCTCCTAATTGAGAATCCTCATAAAGTTGTCTTCCCTATAAATCCTTATCTTGTTTAATTCAGAACTACACAGTGGCACTATACAGGACTACACAGTGGCACCCTGAAGTCTCACAGTGTGGTGGCTGCATCCACATGGGAGTCAATTGTCTGTAGCAATCACCACCTACCCCCATGACCTTTGTGTTGCATTGATGCTTCCTTCTGATAGCAGTGGCTTACAAAATCCTAACAGAAAAGCAAAATACTAGAAGGAGAAGGATTTTTTCCTGCACTTGGAAAATTTATTTTCTTTATCTTCACATTAATCCAGCCAAAGTGTGGAAAGTGGTGTCATTTCAAACTCACTGTGTGACACCCAATTCTCATTAACTGGTCCATTCATTTCCTCAAAGCTGTTAAAAGAAACTGAGCTGGAAGCGCCCAGGGTAAGGCTCATTGTGTCCTGCGGAGGCTAATTCTAAAGCCGCATTCCACCCACCCTTCATGGGGCTGATAGCAAAGTTTGCTAAACAGGCAACCTCCAGAGAACAGAGATTTTTGCAACTGATAGAAACACAGGGAATGAATTGGCTTGATGCCAGAGAAGCAATCCTGCCAAGGATCTGTCATGTCAGACTGAAAAGAAATATGTGTATCATGTTGACGCACAGCAAATGTGAGTTCCCTGTCAGAGCTGGCTGTGCTCCACACCAGGGATCCCTGCCCTGATGGCCTCTTGGTGCTTTCACTGCATTTGCATAAGCAGCCCCAAAGGCGCAGGGCAACAGGGGCCTGAGCAGCAGGGCTGTAGAAAGCATGTCTGCTTTGCCAGTCAATGCTCAGGACACCTCTGGGAGGGCTTGGCTGGCGTCCAGTAAAGTAATTGAGCAAGTATATCATCTGTAACGTGAGATGGGACCTGTGGCAATCCCCACCTGTATCTCTGGGTGTGGACAAGCCGAGCAGCAGGACTACTGTGGAAGCACCCCTAGCCCCTCCTGGTCTGTCAGACAGAGAAGCAGGCAGGAGCCCTGTGCACCGCATGGGCTGCTGCAGCCGGCGCTGCCATAAACCTTCCTTTCCCTCACTTCCTGAATAATAATCTTTAAAAATCCAGCACCAAATGAACTTTTAACCATGTTTAACAAGCAGTGCCTTGTGCCATTTAGAAAATAGTACACAGTCTACCTGAAGCACAGGCATATCCACACAGCAAGCCTCACAAGAGCAGTACGTGACTGGAGCAACGAAGTCTAGTGCTGTCAAGATGGAGCCAAGAGCCTGGGGCTACATTTGGTCAGAGGACGGGTTGCAGTCTGTCTAGCAGATTAGCCATTTTACTCAATTAACAGGAACACATAAAGTTAACAGTTTCCCATAAAGTTCCAGGGAAGCCAAAATAGAACTAAGAGTTTGAGATTTTGATCCAGAAGGAGTTTCATTTACAGTCATAGTGAAGTTACTGAAGGCAGGAAGGGAAGGGAAGGGAAGGGAAGGGAAGGGAAGGGAAGGGAAGGGAAGGGAAGGGAAGGGAAGGGAAGGGAAGACTATGAGTGAGCCATAGATAGTGACCTTGAGGGAGAAACAGAGAGAAAAGAGGGCAGTGAGCTGAGGAATGGAAAAAGCCTTGAAGGAAGATGAAATCCAACCTCCCCCCCACCCCCAGGCCATGGATGGACAGCCAACTGGGCAAGAGCAAAAATCATCATCATCAAGGTGAACTAGGCATTTCCCAAGGCTCCAGTGTGGGGATGAGATGCAAATATGAGCATCCAGTCAGGAGCTTCAAGGGAATACTGTGGGAAGCATGGACGCTTCAAGACATCCCATCGTGTATACTCAGTCCAGAAGGGCAGCACTTGTAAAATTAGATAACAAAACCAAGGGCATTTCCAGAATGGTGTTTTTCAGAAGAACAAAAAGGCCAAAATGTCACAGTGTTTTCTGAAAAGGAGGTCCTAACCTGGTTTCAGAAATGGAGGTGTGGGGGGGGGGGACACAGAGCTTTTGGTACTGCCAATTCATGAAAGACAGAATGTTGTGTTGCATCAAGGCAATGGTAGGCAGAAGGTAGCTTTCCAGACGCTTTTGACTTAGACTCCCAGAAGCCCCTGCCAACACGGCCAATGCCCAGGATTCTTCGGTACTAAAGTTCAAAACATCTGGAAATCCACTTTCTGCCCATCACTACATTAGGGTGCAGGGTCGACTGTCTGAATATATTTGAAAGTTCTATGGCCCAGGACATTTAGAAATTAAAGACTAGGGGATACTGGGAGCTGTAGGACTTATTTTCTGTGTAAACATGTTTTGACTTGTGCGCTAGAATACTCCCTTTTCCATCCCCATTGAGGGTGGAAACCAGGCCTGACAGTTCAGTCTTGTTTGCATGGTGCAACAAGCCACTGTGCTTTGTTTTGTTTTGTTTTTTATCACTGAGGGTCTGTCATGTCATTTGAACCCCATCATGGCATTCCAATGCAGTATACTTGGTATTTACAGACCAAGAATAGAACTAACAGCTTTCTCCATACTACAAATACAGCATCATCTGAACCCAGAAAACAGAACTCATTGTAGTATAAAGTGCAGAACCATAAAGCTGCTTGTCAAGAGAGACTCACAGCCACCTGCCAAATTACCCAGAGTAGCCCTGGCAGCTCCTGTTTTGCACGTCTGTCAGACGCATCCCTGCTTCACCCACCTCCTGCCCTGAAGATCCCTGCACATGCACCAGAGACAACCCTCGTGCATGAAGGGAGAGAATCAGCTGGGCAGCAGTGCTCTGTTAGGGCAGCCCCATGCAGCTGATTCCCCTGGTCGCTGGAGAGACAGTTCCAGCCTGGCACCCATGGGATGCCTCTCTGGCAAGCAGAAGTGAAGAGCGGGGGTGGGGGAATGGAGCCTCCCCCCACTGCTGCCTCTCATGAGAAAGGCATCCAGCTGGGTGCTGGGATGGGGATGCCTCTCTCACAAGGGGGAGGGGGGAGGGGGAGTGGAGCAGCAGCAGCTCCCCACCGATTTCCACCTTTTGGTCAGAGCTCAGGTCAGGCAGCCCTCCTGCTGTTCCAGTGGTCCTCTCGGTAGCAGGAGGCAAGAGCCCCTTGTTGGCTCTGCTGTGGTTGAGGGCAGCAGTCCTCTTTGCTCAGCAGAGACGGCCTGACAGCCATGGGCTTGTGACTGCATCTGCAAAAAGAGGATCCTCATGCCTCCCTGTTCTGTCGCACAGTACTCTGCCCAGAAGACTCAGGGGAAGGAGATTGTCGGAAGAAGGAGGGTTACAACTGTGAGCCTGACTTTCTGGTCAGGGACACTGTGGTAAAGCATGTGAGCCACAGTTACCTCTCAGCGCTGCTGCCTGTTGTTTTTTATTGCCAGCTCAGGGAGCAGAAACCACAGTGAACAATCCACAGTTCACACGTCAACAACAAACCATGGGTTCTCTTCATAGATTGTGGTTAAAAGCCACGGCTTCTTAACACAGATGGACTGAGCAACATGACAATCCATGGGTCACCAAAAACCCACAATTCAATGACACATTTAACCCTTTGGTGTGAATTATCATGCTATCTCAATCGAGTCAGTGCTGCTGTTGTCATGGTATGAAAGCCAACCATTGGCTATTTAATTCATGGTGAGATTGTGGTACATGTAGCCATCATTTTGAATATTAAACAACCCTCACATAATGCATGGTCTATTTTCAGTTTAGGGGAGGGTTGTTTTACCCTTGCATAATCCATGCTGGCTAGGTTTGGATGACATCCCTCAAGCAACCACTTAGCCCATGGGAAGGGGTTGCATGTTGCCCACACCTAGTCTGTATGCCTCTGAATACCAGTTGCTGGGGAACATGAACAGTAAAGGGCTATTAATCTTATGTCCTCCTGTGGGCATCTTCCCAGAAGCATCTGTCCAGCACTGGGGGAAGCTGGATGCTGGTCTTTGGACCATTCCAGCCTTTTTTATGTTCAGAACATGTAGAAGGATCCCCTCTACTCAACACTGGACAGGCCTCATCTTGAGTACTGCATCCAATTCTTGGGCACCTCGATTTAAGAAGGATGCAGATAACCTGGAAAAGATTCAGAGAAGGGCAAAAAAGATGATAAGAGGGCTGAAAACAAAACCCTATGAGGAGAGACTGAAAGAATTTGGTATGCTTAGCCTTGAAAAGAGAAGACTAAGGGGAGATATGATAGTACTGTTCGAATACTTGAAAGGCTGTCACACAGAAGAGGGCCGAGATCTCTTTTCTATCATTCCAGAATGCAAAACATGGAATGCTGGGATCAAAGTACAAGAAACCAGATTCTAGCTGAACATCAGGAAAGTCTTTCTGACTGTTAGAGATACAGAACAATGGAACCAATTAACTAGGAGGCTGAAGGCTTTCCCACACTGAAGGCACTCAAGATGCAGCTGAACAGCTGTTAGGGATGCTTTGACTTGGGAGTCCTGCACTGAGCAGGGAGTCCATAGCATCATGGAACAGTAGAGCTGAAGGGGCAAATAATATCATAGGGTCCAACTAAGTAAATTGGTGTCCTGCAACGGCAGGGGGTGGACCCAGTGGTCTTCATGGCCCTTTCCAAATTTCCATGAAGTGAAGTAAATAGTATAAGCAGTTTCCAGGCTCCAACACACTCTATTTGAACTGCTTTGAGTTTCTGCACAAAGCCATACCTCTGTCGCTGTCAGTAAATACAGGAAGCCCGAGAGGAAGCGCTCCTTGTGCGGTGCTGGCACCCCCCCCCCCCGGTTGTGGGGAAGGGGGGCTAAAGTTGCAAAGTGTCTACATGATGTTACCCCTCAGCTAAACCCTCCTGGCAATGCCAGTCGTAAAAAAAGGTTCAAATGATTTGCCTGACAGCCAAGCCTACCTGGAGCTGAAATCCAGTTTTCATTTAGTTGCTAGTGAGAAACATTGACATCTGTTTTAAGGCCACACAGATAATCCTGTGCCGAGCTCTGGGTTTTGAATTATTCTGAAAATGAATCAACAATATGAAGGGAGAGGCGCCAGCTACAGCCAAGCACAGTACAAGCGGCAGAAATCCTCTCAGAAAAGGTGTTTTTGAGAAAAGAACAAAGAGGAAAGAGAGAGAAGGTGTGTTTATCAACTGCAAATATGTCATTCTTTTAGAGAAAATTCTACAGACATGTTCACACAACATAGACTGTACAGGAATCTAAAGACCATACAAATGAACACTGGAACTAGAAGGGTGGCAAATCAGTCCCTTCTCTGATTCAGATCGGCACATGGCAAAGAACTGGAGGCTGAAGCACCCAGCTGCAAAGGGCTTCACTCAACCTTGATGATGATTACGCACAGCTGTCTGAACTGGCCCTACATTTTCCCCTTCTCCTTGAAATATTTCCACTCCCTTAATCAGAGTCATTGTTCATCTTGCTCTCAAGACATGGGATGGACACCATCACTTCCCACCTCATGTTAACATGAGAATGTTGAAACACTCATAATTATTATGCCCATTTTACTGATAAAAGACTGAAATTGATTTTCAAAACCATCAGGTGAGTCCAGGGTTGAGCTGGTACAAGCTCACAAGTTTAAGACCAATCACCTGCCAACAATTGTTTAGATAAATTATTGGAAGAAACATCTACCAAGCTATTTTTAGCTGTGAAGGCTAAATGAAACCTCTCTGTTCAAGTGGCAGTACACCTCTGAACAATGCCATGCTAGGTACAAACAACAGGACAAGGCTATCACCTTCTTGTCATCCTACTTGTGAGCTTCCACAGGGATAAAGCAAACAATTCTTACTATTTTAAGAGTTGTATATTAATCTTTGCCATACATTTTCAGTCAAAAAACCCTGTACTGTGCAACCTATAGAGGGCAGCTCTTTTTATCAGAGCAGCATCAGCTAAGAAAGAAAGAGCCCCAGAGTAATATTCTTTTTCACCAAGCTCAATTATCTTGAAGGGTAGATGGAGAATATGCAAATATAAGACAGCTGAACATTCTCTCTCTCTCTCTCGTTGAAGTCCTTCATCAAACTGATACTCCAGTGCTTATGAGTATTAATGAAAGAATATACCATATGGGTGGCATTTTTTTCAAATTGAGCTATTCATGATTAAAACTGTAGAGACGGCATCACAACTGAAATGGAAAGCCAAAACAACCTATTTTGACATCCACTGATTCTACTCCCCTAGCTTTGGCCAGAGATCTATATTTTCCACTGCTTTATGCTAAAGATCTGGGCCTATGGTTTTGCCTGCTCCAAGTTTATATGAAAGCACAGTGTAAATGTATCAGCATTACTTGCTGTATTTTCTTATTAATAAACACACAAATGAAGCCAATTACTCATGTCAATGGATGGGCTAAACGCCAACGGAGGAGGAGGAGATTATTGGGGCTTGGTAAATGCTGCCACCTGAGTCTCCAGGGAAGGTCTATGCTTCCCATTCATCTTACCTTAATGAGACAATATACAGTATCAGCATGAAACTTGAATTGACAGGATCCAAACATATTCCTGTTGTGTTAGTATTGTTTTTAAGCACAAAGATCAAGTCACAAAAGCACCACCATCTTCTGAAAAGTGGGATCAAATAGAAAACACCTACCTGCAATTTGTTTGTTTTTAGACACTTTCTTGGGTTAACCAAGAAAGGAGCAATTCATTCTATGCATATGTTTAAAGGGGGGGTGTAATTCTATGGCCCCTCAACATTGTTCAGCTCCAGAATACCTATGTGGAGAATATCAATGCCCACATAAATGCTTTATGGGTAGTCATTCACAGATTACCATAAAACAAAGCCCCTGAACATAGAACATTAAAATTAGAAGAGACCAAAGGAAGTAGAAGCTTTTCCTGAGCAAAGGTGAATCATTGGTATGAGCTCATGATTGATTGAGAAGCAAGGTCCACTTCCCTTGTTCTCCTACAAGCAAGAGAAATGTGCAGCCTGACCCGATGTACGTCTTCCCAGTGCAGTTCCCTCACGATTTCCCATCAGCCCCAGCCAGGATGGCCAATGGTAAGGAAAGGAAAGCTGGGAGTTGCTGCTCAAATGATCTGGTGCACATAGGTTGAGGAAGGCTGCCTTGGAAGTAAGGCAGTTGTGTTTGGTAGCACATCTTCCTAGTTAAGCATGTACAGCACTGCAGTCTTAACAGGAGCAGCCTCCCTTCCATCCCATTGCCCCGTCTGTGTTTCATACCCTGTTGAGTGTGCCAAGAGCTTCCCGAGCAGCAGCAAGGGCTGGTTCAGCTTTTGCCAGGTCCTCCTCACAGTCTCTCTGCTTCTGCTGGACCTGCTGTGTGATCAGGGCCACCTTCTGCTCCTCATCATCTGCAATGGCCTTCTCATTACAGACTTTTTCTGTCTCTATGCCCACGACCTGGATCAGCTTGTCTGCAGCTTCATTCTTCTGCTTCAGCTCCACCTCCTGAGCTGCCAGCTTCGCCTTTAGATCATCTACCTGAAGCAAAGAAGAGAGCACAGGACTAGCATGACTTCAAAGCAGGGGCCCCTATGCAGTGTCGGTGGGTCTCTTCAACAGGACTCACACAGATCTTCACTCCCTGCTCCCTTCAAACTAGTCATTGGTTCTGGATTTTTAATGGACATATACTGGGAACTGGATTTGGTTAAGAGGAAAGTAAACTCTTCCACCGGGTTCAGCATCCGAGACATTCCCTTGGGATTTGATGTGATATCTAGCTAATGCTCTTCCTTTTTGCTGCATGTGAAATCATGCACTGAAGAGCATCTGGAAGGAGGTTTCTATGCTCTGAATCACTGCAAGGGTCAGAAACATACCCTCCTCCCACTACCAGCGCTCTCCCTCCTGGCAAGTAGCCTCCCCCTAGTTCTCCTGCTGTTCTCCTACTTAAGGGCAGCCCCTCTCCAGGTTCCCCAGAATCCTCTCTCATGAGCTCCTAAATGCTTCTGTCTCTTCCAAGCCGCAAAAAGATCTTACGTGTTGAAAAGGAAGCTGTTGTATGACTGGGGCATTGGTGCACTCTTGTCACTGAGACAATTTGCTGAAAACCTTGGCAGCTGAAGTTTGCAGGAGGAGGTGGAAGAGCAGTGCCATCGGTATCACTCGAGCACACAGAGTATTGACACTCTCCGCATGAAACCACTGAGCTAGCTCAGCAGCCATCGGACCATCTCTCTCAGTCAATGTAGGTGGTGGGCACATTTCACCTCTATATCCGAGAGGAAAGGGGACTGTACTCTCCACCTCCAAACCTGGCACATCTTCCCCAAGGCTATCTGGGCAGGAAGGGGGTTCATTGCTGGCTTGTTGCGTCTTTCTTACACCATACTGAAAACACAGTCTCACTCGACAAGACATTGTCATAGATCAAGATGCTTTCTAACTCCAAGCTCTCATGCACTTTGGAAACTCTTCCCCACAGCATTGTGAACAGCAAGCCATATTCCTCCTCCTCCTCTGCCATATTCAGTCCTTCCCTATTTATGTGGCGCTGTTGATGCCCTGCCTGGCATGGGAAGAATGGAGGAATATGGAATATCTTCGCAGATCTTTTAGTTTCGGCCATAAAGAAACTGCAGCATGCTCTGGTAGCAATGCTGCTTTGAAAAATGAACAGCTCCCTGCAGGCTCTGAGAAAGCTCCAGCTTTACTTCTTTTACCAAAAAAAAAAAAAAAAACCTATGGCGCTCTATGGAACAAAGTATCTTTCCATTTAACTTGTAAGCTCTACAGCCCCAGGGTCTACCTTTGCCTGTGGGGAAAGGCAGACATATAATTGGTCTGGAATTCCATGCCATTTCCAGCAAAGATTCTAAAATGCCCCATAATCACCTAGAGAGAGTAGCAGGCATTTTGTGTAAGCTGCAAGTGCAGCCCTGCCCTTTTGTATGTGCCTTTGCAGAATGGCTAATCCGTTTTCATCTCCTGACGTTCTGCTGGGGGAGACAAAACTGCTCTGGGTTTGCTGGGGGTGTGCATAAGCACCTTGATCAGCAAAACTCAGGGGCAACTTTTTATTCATTTAAACGTCTTTGGAGGTTTGGGAAAATGGAAGGAGAAGCTTTTTTCTTTTTGGCTGATTTTAGATATGGCTTCAGTTTGTGGTGAGTAATTGCATGCTGAACACATGTGTGAATAGAAAGTTTATAGGGTTTTAAGTGCTCTGATGAGGCAACCAAGGGATTGACTTGTCAAGCGCTACACAATACTTGTAACAGCTACATAAAAGGAGAGGATATAAATGCAATCCAGTGGCTCTCATTGTAAGATGCAATAGAATTCCCAGACAAAATCTCCTTTTAAAAAGGTACAGAGAAAATGCAGAGCATATAACAGTAACTGAAGGCTAAAGACTTAACAACAACAAGGAAATAAAAAGTAACAAAAGAGGCCCAAGATATTAAGAACATTTGAAATAAGCCAAATTGAATGCATAAAATCTGGAAGAAAATGTGGCAAAGCAAAACAATTATCCCTATTGGAAGATCTTCCAATAAAGGAAGGAAAATGTCTTTAAACACAACAAGCTTCATCACCCACAAAAAGCAAGCTCTACAAATCTTAATACCTATGTCCTAATGACACATTACATGCAAAAGCTGTGACCTTATCCCAGCAACACTTTCAACACAGGAAACTTTTTTCCCAATACTGTTCACTGGAAAAGCAGCATGGGGAAGGGAGTTTACACAATCATGCCCACTCACTTGCCTGCTCCAGATCACTTACTCAGAGTGCCTTTTTCTCCATAAGTTTTCAAAGGTTTATTTGTCCTGGCAGACAGGCATTTGATACCTCGTGAGAGAAGCCACTCCAGGGATGGGGATGTAATTTGGAACTGGAAAATGTTGGGCAAATGCCCTCTCCTCCCCACAATTTGTCAATTCCTAAATGCTACCACACAACCTGCCTATGTTTGTATTAAAAGGATCATTAGACAAATACATATCATGTGACCTGAGGGCTTAGATTCTGCAGCAATCATTTTAAAAAACTGTTAATTGGGCCCTCAACTTACAAGAAAGGCTAACTGTGGGTAATGATTAAGGGAAGAAAGAAAAAAAGAAGAATAGAAAAGGTTTAGTTTCTGTTATGACTTTATGCTAATCTGAATACCTTTTCAACCATCTTATCAATGGTCTGCAAGACTGATTAAAAACCAAAACCCAGTTTTCTCATCAAACTAATAGGATTCTCCAGAAACCAGACAGTAGGGAGAACTTTACCTACTGAGGAGGAAATTATTAGAATTCAAACCGATATATGGCAAGGGAAAATAGTGGAGCACATAGTCATGGGTGTTTCCTTGATATACTTTTGACTTGTTTCTTCCCTTCTATGCAAAGCACCCAAGGCTGGGAAGAACAGGGTCAACGCATTAACCAAATCAAAGACTCGGCAGAGATCATCAGCATGTGCTATCTCTACCACCACTAAGAAATGTGAGGACTTTCATAGATTTGTCTTTATCAATTAGAAGGAGAGAAAAACAAGCCAGATGCAAGCAAGGCTAGTTCTTTGTGACTCCCAGAGAACAGAAGGGAAAAAAACCTGCACAAAAAGTAGGAACATTAAGGGACAGAGAGCCTCTCGAGTAGGCACCCAGCAGGGTCTTTTAATCCATTTGCCTGTGCCTGGCTTCAGGACTACACATACTACGTGGAAAGGTCAGCAGTTAATTGCTGCAGCAGGAGAGACTGAAGTCAAGAATCAATGAATCATGTGTAACAAAAAGCAGCGCTAAGGGGTTTATCTCTGACCCAAGATGACAAGGAGAATGCAGCCCTCTCATCATGAAGAGCAAAATGGATATCCAAAGGCTCCTCCTTCCCAGACTGCTCCCTCAATAAGCATGGCACAGAAATAAGGAAGCGAGAACCTTCCATCTGATTTCCATACAATATCAACAAAGGGTCCCAGAAAGAAGCACCACTCCTTTCACAGGCCAAGAGTTTTCTAAACACATACTGTTGTTTTTTAAACCCTGATTTTGTAACTTTAAGAGATAAGTTTTGCAATGAGCCAAACCTTTAACATAGACACAGCAGCATGTTCCAAGGTAAACCAATATCCTTTGCAAGGAAGGGTGGTCATATCAACCACTGCAGCAGAACAGAACTGTGGGGTAGCGAACCATACTAAAGAATAAGCTCATTGGCAGCATTGTCAAAAACACACATGTTATACGCTGACCTAAGAGCTGTTGAACTGAAAGGCAGCATGCAAACAACCTCTCCACATCCTTCTAGTCTCCTGATAAAAGCTCCCCAAATAATGGGTCATTTAAAAGAAAATAAATCCATCTACTGTTCTTTGTGGTACCATGGTTCTGCCATTAACTCCATTCCACCCAATTTCAACCCAGTCAAGCTTTTACCTTCCCATGAGAAAACAATTTGCAAATTATACAACTAAATGGCTCTCATACCCACATAAATCTTTGGTTTGCAATTCATTTTCTTGCTCTTTGCAAAGAGAGCAACGAGGAATGGGGGCCCAGAGTCTCAAATTATAGTGCTTAAAATGCCTTGCTATCATATTTTCTTGCCCCTCTTCTTGCCTTTACAATGCCATGTGGGGAGCCAGGAAGCACCTTCCCATAGTCCATGTGGGGAGCCAGGAAGCACCTTCCAATAGTTTGCTTCAAGGACATCCTGTTGCTGGCCTCTATCGGGAAAGCCATCCTGGCTTTTGCCATTTCAAAAGGACTGGAACTCTACCTCACTCCAGGAACCCAGTCTGAGAAGATTCAACTTCTTCCTTAACTTTTTGCACAAAGGCTCTTTGCTCCAGTTCAATACTAGCTTAAGTGTTATAATTTTCACAGTTATTACAGATTCCTTTAAAAAGAATTCACATAAGGCCACAAGGCTACTTTTCTACTTTCATAAATATTTTAAGATTAATTGTAAAACATCTACTTGTAGGACATTGTGTCATGAAATATGCAAGTTTTCATCTTGAAATAAACAACTGCTTAAAACAGGAATAGTGTAGCTCTAAAAGGGTTACCAAGAAAATGGACACTGAGGAGAAATTTCTGGCTACACACAGGACGTTCTAGATAGGTTCTCTGACAGGTTACACCAGGGGTCTCAAACTCGCGGCCCACGGGCCAATTGCCGGGACGGACGGGGCACGGGGGAGGGGCCCTGCGGCCTTCAAAGCGCCAGCAGCGCCCAGGCCGGCCTCCGGATGAGTGGCCCACCACCACCGCGGTGGTGGAATACTTGATGCAGCCCAGCCTCACCCAGACTCTACTTCCAGCGGCCCCCAGGTAAGTTGAGTTTGAGACCCCTGCTTTACACCCATCCCATGGCACTTTCAGAAGTTAGCCATGTCCAGCTATTTGGAAGGCAGATGCCACTGTCCCAAAAACATTTCCATTCCTTATCCATGAAAGAGACTGAACTATCCCTGTAAAATATCTCAGTATCTCCCATACTACTGGAACGTTGCAGTTCTTTGAATGAAAGGGGGGGAAAGACGACACATAAGAGGGACTGCATCCATCCTACGTTCTGGCACATCTCAAGGGTCTGAATCAGTCCCATAGGTCTAAATATGTCAGTATCTGTTTTCTAAAAGCAGCAGTGTGCAAGGCTTCTGGGCAAAAGCATTATTATGCTTCACAATGTCCTGTAAATGTAACATTCTTCCAGCCCACAGACTTCACTCCTTGGAACCAACCAACAAACCCAACACAGATCTGTGCAACTGAGAACCCACAGTTCTGCTCTTAGCTACCTGGGAGCTAATGGAGCACCTTACATTCATGGAGTATGCATAATGTGTGTGTTCATGGACTTGTGCATACAAAGAGAGACGCTCTATTACTTCCCTGCCTTCCATTTATAATGCATGCATTATTGATGGTACCTACCCAGGAACAACCATCTGCTTACCTGTGCCGCTGTGCTGCTGAGCTTCTGTAGGCCATTTTCTAGTCTTCCCATCTTTGCTGTCAGTTCCTTCCCCTTTTTAAGCAGCAAATTCTGATACAGTTTAATTTGCTCCAAGAATGACTTGGGTGTGGTGTAGTTATAGCGACGTTCATTACTCAAGTATGAATGGGACATTTCATTAACACTGGTATGCACATAAGCCATGAACTTGCTTATAGATTCTTTCACAGAAGCCTTAACATAGAAAGAGAAAATATTTCAAACCTTAAATGAGTTAAATTTTTTACTCTGTAAGACAGCTCTTTTGGCTAATGCATGAGATAGAAATCTAATAAACAAACAAACAAACAAAATGCCATGTCTCAGTATTGCAACAAGGTGTTGTTCTTAATACAGAATGGACTCTTCATGAATTAGCGTCTCAAAATCTTCCTTGGGTTTTGATATTGCTACCTGGAACTGGACTGGTTATATGAAACGGAAGACTTTTCCTTCATATAACACATATTTATGGACATATACGCCTAAGGCAGAATCTTCCCCTCAAAACCAGCTCCAGTCTAGGTGGCACATGCACACTTCTCTTTGCCCCAGGAAAAAATCCCATCAGTGGCGAAGAAGGCACAGCAACACTAACTAGGCCAGTGGTGGAGATGTCAAGAAGAGTGGATGCAATTTTGTTCCCTGAGTGGCACCACTAGAAGCAAGTGCTTCCTTCAGGGAATGGGGAGGCGGAGAGTGAGGAGTGGGCTGGGAGCAGGCAGGTTCAGAAACAGCCCACCTTTGGACTTGCACTGCTACCTCTGAGCCCCAATTGCTCCTGCCAGAAGAACCCCCATTCACCCACAAAGCACTTTGGCAGGGAGGACAAACACAAGTTCACTCCTTTTTTCACAGAAGCATCATTAGAATAGGGAATTCTGCTACTTAAACATAAACCTTTTACAGTATAAAATATGGAAATACATGCTCAGAAATAAGTATTTAGCTCAAAACAAAAGGACTGAACAAAAGCTTGGTGTAGAAAAACTAAATTTAGCTCAGTGGGAAACAGCCAAGTCCAGAAAAGAAGTGCTCCTTACCTGCCTCAGTTTTGGTGGGGCTTCACCACATACAAACTGTGTCTAATTTGGGGTGCTTAAAAGATGCATTCTCACTCCTGATGTTTTGGGACATATTGAGACCTGGCAGCACAACTTGTGTCAAATATTCAGAAACCCATAACAGGTAACACTCTCCTTCACACATTTTTAGCACTTTTAAAATAAAGTGTTGCTATTTCAACCTTAAGAGGCTGCGAAGGAGTCTTCACAGTTGTTGGCAGCTGTTCACACATACACCTGAACATGCATCCTAGGATCGATCACACTTTCCACTGAACACATGAATGTCCCCATGAACCTGACACAGAAAGGATGGCCTCAGGTTGCAAGATGCTGGATCCTAGCTGCTACCATGCAGGTTAAATGTGAAAACATGTTGAGGGATAGCTTTGGAACACAGACTGCCTCACATAGAGAGCCAACATGTCAGGTGCGAAAAATCAAGTCGGAGGGCATCTGAGGAGTCTGCATGTAGTCTGAGGAGTAGATCAACTGAGGTGGCTCCTCAGCACAGGAGGATCCACCAACAGCCCAAGGGACATCACAAGTGCCATTCACGCATTAGCAAATGAAAAGTTTTCCAGTATGACGGCAAAACTCAGCATGTATGACGGCAAAAAAAAAACTCAGCCGCAGAAACAGTAACCTGTGAAGCAGCCCTTCAATAACTGCTTACCTCAATGGTTTCTGTCCCTTGCAAGAAGCGCAGACTGACTGACTCTAGAGCCTCTCGGGGCCACTCATGGAACCAATCTATTGCTGTACAGTTCACAATGGCGGGGAACTTCCGACTGCGAACCCTCAACTTGTTCCCCACTGGGGAAAAGCAAAGAGCAACCTGAGGAAAGGGTAAACAGGCAGAGAGAAACATGGTCAGAATGGCAGGTCGAAAAGGATGATGGGGTTGGACTTTGCCTTATGTGTTTCAAGTCCCACTGGAAAAGGCTCTCAAAATAAATGTATGGTTCAGAATGTGCCTTTCCACTTAGGCATTTCCTCCCCTGACTATGTTTATTGTTGCTATTCATGTGTGATGCTTTCATGCGCTATGCAGGATGAATTTCTGCTGCAACAATCTCAGATTCTTTCAAGACTCAAGTGGCAATATTTCATGACTGTGTAAATACCCTTGAGGTGAACTGAAAAAAGTCCACCATCAGAAATAGCTGTCAGACATGTAAGATCTTGGTCTTTGGAGATCACCATCCTACCTTGAGCTGTCGTCTAACCCGATCAATGAAGTACTTCCAGCAGGCCTCCCGGGTGTCCATCAGTCCTTGGGCTTTAACTTCATTCCTCATATTACTGATGATATTTTCAACTTCCTCATCAGGGAAAAGATCAGGAATTTCTCCTGGAAACAAAGGTTATCATTGCAGCAACAATGATTTTTAAAGAACTGGAACAGCAGTTTCAGTGCAATGCTGCACAGGGCTCTAACTGAATGATCCTGGGAAAGATTCCTGGTTGTGTGCTACCTCTGGCTGGCTATGCACTCCCTCCTTTACCAAAGGTAGCCTGCCTGCACACACCAGCTGCTGAGGAACTTGGGCAGGTGGAGGCCTTGCACCCATCCTGCTTGAGAGACCCTGAGGGCAGCTGGTTTGCCACCATGTGTGCAGAGTCCTGGACGAGATGAAACTTTGGTCTGATCCAGCATGGCTTTCCTTATGTTCTTATTCCAGGATGAAGAGCTTTAAGTATTGCAAAGAACCATCCTCCTTCATCTTTATGGGTCTTAGCTAAGCTTATAAAGACCAAGTCTGCCTTGCCTGAACTATTTCTGCAGGAGGTATGTCAAGAATCATCTGGGGGCACATCTTCCCAGGCAAATAAATAAAGGAAGAAAACACATCAGTGTGGTGCCATGAAAGTAGGCATAACAGGAAAATACACTTATCATTATTCCAGATCCCAGATGTGACCAATTTCTCACAGCCAAGGTAGCGAGAACAGCAGAACAGCAGCTACCAGTAAATTTATATAGTCAGTAGGCACTGAGGAGGATATGGCTGCAGACTGACAAAAGACACTTTGCTTACTGTAAATGTAGTTCTTTGAGTAGTCATCTATGGGTTTTGTGCTTCGGCAGAGCCTGCATTGGAAAGCTTCTCAAGCTGAGGGATTTTTAAAAGAAACCCTCCCCCAATCACTAGCGTGTCTTATGCATGAATTTCTACCCATTCCATCAGTTCCACTGAGACTGCTCATTTGTGACAGCAGAAATGAGAGATAACCATGATGCTAGGAAGATGATATCAAGGCAGATATATGTCAGAATCCTTGACACCAACAGAAAGGCAGGGAGGGAATCATTGACATAGAAGTGGGGATGGAGGGTGGGTTGTGTGAATGCACAGATGACCACTCAAAGAACAACAGATCCAGTAAGCAACCTGCCTTTCTTCTGCACAGTCTCTGTGCATCACACATGGGGCAGGTTTTGGTGTTGCTATTGTTATGGATAACAACACAGTGTGGTGAAAAGAACGATCTGCTCAAGCCCAACGTCTGATGGAAGTTGCCAGTTCTGACTAAGTCAGAGCACAGCAAACATTACTCAAGGGAATCCCTTTGCTAAATGCTGTTGAGGCAGTTATTTTCCTCGTGGAGAGTGTCATCAGTCTCAGAAGTATTTGTACACCATGCACTATGGGGCAGTCCTGCAGACTTCTCACAGGGGGATTCCTGAGAGAAAGGCTGTGAACATGGCCATTGCTCAGATGGAGGGAACCCTTGAAGGAGCCATGTTGAAGGCTAGCTAGCCCATAGGTGTGCAAGATGGTATTCATGACCCATTTCACCAATCTCTGAGTCAGAGGCCTGGACCCAGTTAATGAGAGGAGAATGGATTTGTTCCCATGTCCTTCCCTTTCTGAAAGAGGTATTGGTCCTAGCAAGGCTAGAGTCGATCGCGTCAGTGTCAAGTTGGCTTCCAAATGTGGCAGTGTGGTTCCCAATGTTAGCAAGGTCTCGTGGACCACCTTGACACCAATGCCAAGGAAGGTGGTCAGTGTAGAGACCTGGGGAGTTCTCTCCATTCTCCATATGGTGGGAGCATGGTATGGGCCATGTCCTCCCTTGGTACTGAGGCCTGCAAACATCCCAAGGACAGTACCAAGTGTTCCTTCAGGAGCAAGGGTTGATGGGGGCTTTCATGTTACCTTTGTTTTTCCATAGTGGCAGTGGTCATTTTTTGGTGCATTTGGCTGCTTTCCTGGCTATGTGGCCATAAGACGAGCAGCCTGGCCTAAGAGAGGTAGGCTCATTCAGGCACCCCAGTGCAGCCAATGTGGGCCTAGTTGGTGTCGCTGCAGCCCTGGTGATTAGGCACTCTTCCACCTTCCACCTCATGGAATCATGGCTTGCGAGGGCTCTTCCCTAGTTGGGCCTTCAATTGATACACCCTATGTTTGTGAGTCTGTTTTGCGAAGGCCTGCAGGTTGGGCAGACCTCAACAATGTGTCCCTTGCCTAGGCAGACAGGGCAGAGGGACCATCCATCTGTAGTGGTGGGGAATCTGCTGTCACAGTTTACACATTACCTAAATGGCACCACCAAAGCCATCATGGTAGATGGGGAGGGCAAGAAAAATATAAATGAGGACCAGTTTGATAGGGGACACAATGAGGAGTAGCAAGAAAGTGGAGAGAAATATATATTTTGTAGAATTTTCATAAAGGGAAAGGTTGAAAAAGACAGTTTGTGAGAGAAAAAGCATATAGAGGCAAGAAAAGTGGAGAAAGTAACAGCAAAAAGGTCTGAAGAATGCTGAAAATACTGAAGTTTGAGGAGAGAAGCACTTCCTGATCCAGGCATGATGGTGCTTGAAAAGGAACTGAAGGAATGGGCAGGGGCCCCTCCTGCATAAACCTGGCATAGGAAGGGCTCTTGCCCAATTGAATGCTTAGCTATAGAATCTTCCCAACAACAGGCTCCACACAGGCACAGAACCGATACATGTGATGCACACAGACTACAAAGAAGAGCCCATGGATAAGGTGTGCTACAGGTCGAGAGAGAGGTTCCGCCAGCAATTTCTCAGTTGCAAAAGCTTCCCGACAGAGACCCCACATAGGCGCAAAGCCCAGATGTGTGATGCACAGAGATGATGAAGGAGAATCACAGTTTAACACTAGAGGGATGAGCCTGGATGAGCTTTGGCCTGGGGAGCTCCCTCTTCACCTCTGATATTGTTGCAGCAAGGGGCAGAAAGCTTTCTGCTTATGTTTCTAATCTACCCCATTTTTATTTCACCACAGATGATGAAGAGCTGTGCTTAATGTTAACGATGGCATAAAGAAACAAGGCAGGATTGTAAGTCCTATTCTGACAGTGGCTTCACTTCCCACACAAACTAAAATTGATGTGAATGACCTGTTTGCCCAGGCTGGGACGTAGCGAGTAACCAGAGTGAATGGTGAATGCTTCTGGTTTTCCCATAGCCACACCAGAAGAGACAACTGGAGGGGTAAGCAGCTGAGTCTTGAAATTTATACATGAATGCTAAACCACAGTTCAACCTTATGCTTGAACTTTATATCACTATACATTTTCCTTCAGAATCATATATAATACTGTTAACTGGGCAGGGCACATCCAAAAGCCCTGTAAGAATAAAGGCCTTCTCGTGTTTCTTTTAAAGCTAGGGAGGGAAAAAAAGACCCTTCCTTTTCAGGAAGGAATGGGTTCCCCAGGATGCATAGTAACAAGTTCAATCAGCTGTTCACAAGATGGGTTTTGACCACAGACAGGCATCGTGTTAAATTCTAGCATATTTCTAGAAGATAGCCAGGGCCTCTACTAGCAATGGGATTTTCTAATGCTTGACATATAGAGCACACCAAGACATATTGGTAGGTGAGAGCGTGAGCACATACATGCACACGCGCACACACAGGTCACAAGTGACAGGAGACTAAAGAAAAATGTTTCCAGGCACATACTGGCACCTAAATAGAGGCTGGGATTGCAAGCGGCTCCATCATGTGCATTCTTTGGAGAATGCACCATAATTTTGATTTGTTGTTGTCTGTATATGAAACAAATTGCTGAGTTCCATACCTGAAGCGAGCAAGTCATTGACGAGGACCAAGAACCTCTCATCAACCACTTGGGCATCTGTCATAAGAAAGACGGTGCCCACGTTCTTTACTCCTGCTGCAACATATTGTGCTGCCAAGTCAGCCTGTAGCAGCAAGGAAAGAAATTGCATGTATATTAAAGCACCGCATTTGCAGTCCCCTGCGTGGGCAGCTAATTCTTGCTAACCTGATGTCTGAATTTAAACTCCAACCAAATACAGTATCAAGAACATACTTTTCTACTTGCATTACTGATCCTGTTGCTGACGTTATGCACAACACAACTGTGCAGAGGCCATATCGAAGGAAATCGATTCTGTCTCAAGAAACAGAACACCAGATGACAGCATTACTGTCCAAGTAACTTTTATGCATTACAGGTTCTTTGAAAAACTGTTCTTGACTGGAAGACCACTCATTACTAGTGGAAGTTTATTCTCACCCCACCCCCAAATATTCGTGCTTTATACTCTGCTAAAATCTTGGGATTTAAAGAAAAGGAATGTGCAGTTATTTTTTTTCCTGATTATTCATTCTGCCATTCCATCATGCTCTTTTCTTGACTGATCTTTCTCATAGCAAGTTCAAAATGTTCAACAAGCCTTTGTAATGATCTCCATGAGAATAGGCCTCCCCAGAATGTGGTTGGGTGGGTCAGGGGATGATTGCTTATTTGAAAGCACCCTGCAAGAAACAGCGCCTTACAAATCAAAACGCTCCAGATTGGCATGATCTTTGATCAGGTGAGGTTACCACATGAAGGGAGACTTTTATTTAGTTATACTTTCAAGCAAACAATCCCAGTGTGCATTCTGAATTTGCCCAGTCATGCATTCCTGCATTTATCTTTGAATCGTAACAGGGACATTTGCACATCCTGCCAACCAACTCTGGCAAAAGTTACATGGCTTGCTTATCCTTTGACACAGTTGCCAAGCAGCTCAGTGGCCAGTTCCCAGTAACAAGTTCAATAATGAAGTTGGCCACCTGGGTTCAAACAACATGACAGCATATTGCTGGTACAACAACCCTGTCCATGGGTTGTCAGGGTGGATGGTCATCTTCAAACTACCACCAAATGGGAATCGGTTTGGTCTCACACAACAAAACTGGTGTGTCATGTCATGCCAACTCAGTTACTTGCTTGAGATTCCTAGAGCTAAATCACTGTTAGTGGGACTTGCAAAGAACTTTAGCAAACTGGAAAATAACTAATGCAACTTAGCAAAAGAAAGAGACTTCTCTTGCATGGAATAAATGATATTTTATTTCAGTTACAGAAGAAAAGGCTTATTCTACGCAGTCAAGCAGAAGTTTAATTTATTTTACTGTCCCCATTAATATGAGATTCTCACCTTCAGGTCAGGAATCCCATAGCCTTTCCTCAAGGTGATCTGGAAAACCTCCAGTGAGCTAATGAAAGCTGCCAATCTAGTCAGGCTCTGCTTTCCACTTCCTCCCACACCAATCAGCAGCGCATTCCCTCTGGGAGATTCCAGGATGCGATTGATCCGGCAGCTAAATACAAAGACACACAATCACTATGGCAAATGTTTTCCTCACTGGTACATATCAATATATGGCAAAAGGAAGAGTCCATTCGAGTCAAAACAAGGTACAAAATCTCAACCTGTTGTCCTACCCGAATGGAATCACTAGTAATCCATACCCTACTGATGGTATTCCGAGTCCTCTTGGATCACTCTTCATTTCCCAGCGTGTTTCCTCTTCCCATCTTGACTATAAAGATCACTCTCCAGTTTGGATTGAATCTATTTATGTTTCTTTCTAAGTATAAAACAACTATTTGAAAGATTATAAAGATCTGTATTATCTATACTTAACCAACAATGTATGCACTGTCAGTGCCTTTACTGAGGAACCACGCAGAGTCTGAAACTTACTGAAACCTGGTGAGCAACTGCTCTTCTCATGCCATTCCTGGAGTAGGTCCTGCCTCCGGGACCAGGACCTGCAGAGGCTGGAACTACCTGCCAATGTCCAGTTCGACTTCCTAGATCTAACAGGAGGCAGACCTTTTCTAGAACTTCACAGAGTGGTAATGAGAAAAGATGTCCTTATTTCCTTTCTCTGCCAATGGTCTTGGCAATTTTCTTATGATTTCTTTTCGCAGATGTTCCTTTTAGACTTCTGAGCGTTCCTGGAGATTGGTGGGCAGTTCCTGCCTCCCAGGAAGTAGCTTCTTAGCCCTGTTCAGCTTCAGAGAGAACCCAGTAACTAATCTTGGTTTGTGCCCTGATCACAAAGGGGGAATATCTTTTCAGACTTCACATATATCCAGCAGGTGTCTCTGAACAAAATCAACAGCCCATTACCTATCTCTGAATTATATGTGCTGTTCCCTCCAAAGTTTCCTGCTTACCACAGCTTTTTAAGAGATTATCTAGGGTAAAGAATGAATGATTTAGTGTATGACATTGGCTTCATAAACTACAATTTAGCATTACGCAAAGAAGCTACACCCTCCCTGCTCCTTCACTGCAGCCACAAAAAATTCGGAAGCTTTTGCTTCCCAATTAAAATGGGGTTTAGCATTATGCCAAAACCTGGACAAACTGTGACTGCTCTTCACGGTGGTTTAGGAAAACAATTTCAAACTGTGATATACAATCTCTCCTTACTTCCATAAACTCCAGTTAAGACTAACTATATTTTGATAAACCATGGTTATTGTTCCATTAAAACTGGAAGTGAAAGCTCACAGCCATGCTAGAGGAGAAAGGGGAAATAAGCACAGGAGCCTGAGTCTTATATACTAAGACATAATTTAGTGTTATGCCCACATGAAACCACTGTGCAATGGACTAGGGAGGTGCGCTGGTTCATAGATACAAAAGTGATCTGCAGTGTTGGTAGACTCTGGATGTGATGGGACCCTTACAGTGCATTCTGTCCTGGTAGAATTGGTTTGTCTCTATTTTGCTGCCCAGCAGTCAGTATTGCTCCGGGCTGAATCATGGATGAATAGTAAAGATGACAAAGAAATTCCTTTCATATGATTACACTGCCATGCTTGCAGCACATGGCACCACTGATGTGAGACTGCTGGAATAACAAAATAATCAGCACTTCTTAGGAGAAACCTGACAAAGCCTAGCATTTACTTATTCATTATATTTATATCCTGCCCCTTTTTTCCTGCAAGGAACCCAAGGCAGCTTAATGATTAACATGGGCGTGTGAAGCAGGGGGTCCAAATCCTGAGCTGCTAGCAAAGATGGATTTCAACTTCTGAGCTAGTGATACTGCCATTAAAGATGTTCTTTCTTATATATCAAACATTCATTTCATACCTGCTACGGTAAAAGCATGTATTTGCACTCCAGGTTATCTTTACATAAACTGGTATACAAAAACAACACATACATACAGGCAGTAAAAACAAATATCATAAAAGAGTTGATACTGTGCACAGAAGAGAAACTAAAATCAGATAGCTAGAGTTAAAACAAGATGTGGGTGTTTTTGTATTTTTTTAAAGACACTCATGTGGTCTTAGAAAATGACTATTTTTCCTCTGAAAATTTCATGGGAATAGAAACAATGGGTTAACTGTATGACTTTGGCCTCATTTAGACATAATGCCGAACTATGATTTAGCATTATGCAAAGAAACCTTGCACTCTCTGTTCCTCCAGTGCCACCACAGGGAGGAAATTGGAAGCTTTGGCTTCTATTTTCAATTACATTTGATTTATTGTTATGCCCAAACCTGGAAAAAATGCGGGTGAGCTGAACTATGCTTTAGAAAAACAAGCCAGTTTCAAACTGTGGTGCACAATCCTGCTGCTAGAACTAGGGCTGCCATCAAAAAAAAAGACCTTGCATTAGATTTACAGACCAGTTTAGATCAATAATTTCTTCGAATGAAGGCAGAATAAAGAAGGATCTGATCTGCAAATTGCAAGCAGGCTGCAGGATCATATAAGGTTTATCAGGCTGCCTAGGGCTAAATCAGGTTGTTGACCCTAAGGTCTGGGACTAATTATGCCCCTCTGGGGTCCCCATAAGGCTGTGCACCCTTCCCCCAGCCACTGATTGTGGGGTAGCTTTCTGCTTTTTCCATTCTGAACAGTTGCAAAACCTCTAAGGCTTAGTAACTGGCAGTGGGAATTTTAAGGTAAGTTCTCAGGAAGCCTTAGGGAGCATCTCTGGAAGAGAACTCAGCCCTCAAGTTGAGAGAAATTCGGCACCAGAAAGCACTGCCTTTCTATCCAGGAAGAAATAGGCCTGCCTGTATGAATCATGCCCATAATAAGCTGGTCCTAGAACTCTCCCTTTCGCCATTCACTGCAAGCAAAAGTGGCTGTTAGCTTTGCAGTGTGTGATGCAAAGAGTTCATCTTTCTAACCACTGTGTCCCACAAGGCAAGCACCAGTTGCTTTCGCGGTTAGCAAAACAACTAAGATGGTGACGTATGATCTGTTTGATGAGAGCAAATTCCATCTGAGCAGGTCCAAAGAACCACGGAACCCCAGGCTGAAAAAGAAGCTCCCAATGTGGCCATGTGAACTGGATCTCAGTCATAGCTTTCAGCAATTCAAGGAAAAGCAGGAACACTTCACTCCAGTTTTGAGACTAAGACGCAATTGCAAAGTACTAAGTAGGAACAGTGCTTGGCTAGTGTGCAGAGAGCTTCTGAAACAAGCCGTCCGCAAGCCTAAGACACAGTTACTAAGGGTGACTGCTTTTGTGCACTGAACACCAAATTCTAGTACAGCCTGGTTGGCACAAAACCACTGAGAATAAAATGCCTGCTAGCAACCAAATGGAATAAAAGCGCTGTGGCATGCAACGGCACTACAATTGTATCAGACATCAAGGCCCTCTGGTGCGGGAAATGAAAGGATGCTAGACTCCCCGGAACACAAAGAAAAGAGCAGCAAGAGCAGAGGAGCGGCCACATTGCTCGCTTTTGTGACACTGATTGAATTTGCTGCCTGGAGTTGCAAGAACAGTTAGACTGCCCCTCCCACCCCTTTTGAATGAAACAACAGCTGGAAGGGGAGGGGGGTGATTGGAAGCACTTGTGTCTGAGGCAGTCTCAGTAAAGTCCCTTTTTGGGCAACTAAAGCAAAGCCAATTTATGGCTGGAAAGCAAGCACTGCATCTTGGTAAAGGGCATGCTTGAAAATATAGACTGATGTACCTATCTACCTCTCCTTCATGGATCACTGCCTTGTTGTGGTGAAGGGGCTTGCGCAGGTCAAGAAGCTATGAGCTATGCCGTGCAGGGCCACCCAAGACGGACAGGTCAGAGAGCTCTGACAAAACGTGATCCACTGGAGAAGGAAATGGCAACCCACCCCAGTATCTTTGTAATGAAAACTCCATGGACAGTACCACAAGGCAAAAAGATATGACGCCGGAAGATGAGCCCCTCAGGTCGGAAGGTGTCCAATAAGCTACTGGGGAAGAGCAGAAGGCTAGTACTAGTAGCACCAGAAAGAATGAAGCAACTGAGTCGAAGCCAGATGTATGTGGTGGTGAAAGGAGAGTCCGATGGAAAGTCCGATGCTGCAAAGATCTATACTCCATAGGAACCTGGAATGTAAGATCCATGAATCAAGGCAAGCTGGATGTGGTCAAACAAGAGATGACAAGACTGAACATCGACATCTTAGGAATCAGTGAACAAAAATGGACAGGAATGGGTGAATTTAATTCAGATGACCATCAGGTATACTACTGTGGGCAAGAATCCCTCAGAAGAAATGGAGTAGCCTTCATAGTCAATAAAAGAGTAGGAAAAGCATACTGGGATACAATCTCCAAAATGACAGAATGATCTCTGTTTGAATTCAAGGCAAACCATTCAACATCACAATAGTCCAAGTCTATGCCCCAACCACTGGTGCTGAATAGCCTGAAGTTGACCAGTTCTATGAAGGCCTACAACATCTAGAATTAATACCAAAAAATGATGTCCTTATCATCATGGGGGATTGGAATACTAAAGTAGGAAGTCAAAAGATAACTGGAATAACAGGCAAGTTTGGCCTTGGAGTACAAAATGAAGCAGGGCACAGGCTGGAAGAATTTTGTCAAGAGAATACGATGGTCATAGCAAGCACTCTTTTCCAACAACCCAAGAGACAACTCTACACATGGACATCACCAGACAGTCAACACAGAAATCAGATCAACTACGTGCTCCGCAGCCAAAGATGGAGAAGCTCTATACAGTCAGTAAAAACTAGACCAGGAGCTGACTGTGGCTCAGATCATGAGCTTCTCATTGCAAAATTTAGGCTTAAATTGAAGAAAGTAGGGAAAAGCACCAGGCCACTCAGGTATGACCTAAATCATATCCCTGATGAATATACAGTAGAGGTGACAAATAGATTTAAGGAATTAGATCTGATAGACAGAGTGCCAGAAGAACTATGGATGGAGGTTCACAACATTGTACAAGAGGCAGCAACCAAAACCATCCCAAAGAAAAAGAAGTGCAAGAAAGCAAAATGGCTGTCTGAGGAAGCTTTACAAATAGCTGAGGAAAGGCAAGGAAGAAAGAGAAAGATACACTGAAGTGAATGCAGAATTCCAGAGAATAGCTAGAAGAGATAAGAATGCCTTCTTAAATGAACAGTGCAAAGAAATAGAAGAAAACAATAGAATAGGGAGGACCAGAGATCTCTTCAAGAAAATTGGAGATATGAAGGGAACGTTTCATGCAAAGATGGGCATGATAAAGGACCAAAATTGCAGGGACCTAACACAGGCAGAAGACATTAAGAAGAGATGGCAAGATTACACAGAGGAACTATACAAGAAAGAGCTTAACGTCCTTGATGACCACGATGGGGTGGTCACTGACCTCAAGCCAGACATCCTGGAATGTGAAGTCAAATGGGGCTTAGGAAGTCTGAGCAACAACAAAGCCAGTGGAGGCAACAGTATTCCAGCTGAGCTATTCAAAATCCTAAAAGACGATGCAGTAAAAGTGCTACATTCAATATGCCAGCAAATTTGGAAAACTCAACAGTGGCCACAGGACTGGAAAAGGTCATTTTACATTCCAATCCCAAAGAAGGGCAATGCCAAAGAATGTTCAAACTACCGCACCATTGCACTCATTTCACATACCAGCAAATTTATGCTCAAAATCCTACAAGCTAGGCTCCAGCAGTATGTGGACCAAGAACTACCAGAAGTACAGGCTGGATTTCGAAGAGGGAGGGGAACTAGAGATCAAATTGCCAACATACGCTGGATCATGGAAAAAGCTAGGGAGTTCCAGAAAAACATCTACTTCTGCTTCATTGACTATGCTAAAGCCTTTGATTGTGTGCATCACAAAAAATTGTGGCAAGTTCTTAAAGAGATGGGAGTACCAGACCATCTTATTTGT